CTTTCAACAGCGTCTCTCTTCTTCTGTGCTGATCCATTCCCTCCTTCTCAACTCTGACATGCAGTTATATGGGTTTACTGGAGAAATATGTTGATGTGACTGTAATAAAAGGCTGGAAGAAAATAATAATAATGAATAATCTTTAAATGTTTATAAATAAAAAACATATTCCACGTGATTTAACCTAACCTGATAACAGTTTTAACTTATCTGATCTTTAACATAACCTGTCAGAGACTCCAATTCCAGCTGTATTGACATAATCAATACAGTATATGTGCGGACTGCTCACACCATCAAATTATCCTCATATTATGGTTAAAGAATGTTGGCATTGTATGGTTCTGTCTGCATGGGTTTGACTGTCCAAACAGTTTGGCCTGTCTCAGAAAATAAAAGCTTTGACATTAACAGTGTTTGTGGTAAAGCTGGTGATGGTGAATGGTGATTCTTCAAATCTTATTAATATTGAAATTTCCTGGGAAGTTGAAGCACCATTGCTTCATACATACAACAAAAACAGTTGATCATTACACCTATTATCCTGAGAGTGAAAAGAGGGAACTTTGCTAAGTGCTTTTATTGCCATCTTTTCTGTGAGAGATGCTTCAGTGGGGACATGTATCAGAGCCAGAGGTAACAATTAGAATTAGTTAGATTGTTTTTTTTTCTGTACGTTTGAGGGCTCCTGAGTGCTGCTGTTACTTATGCACAGGCACTGCACAGCAGTCCAAGTCACATAACAGTCCTTCATCGAGATTCATGGGAGAAGAATATACAGGGACAGGGATAAAACTGTCTGGTCCTTGACTGCAGTCAAACAGTTACAACAGTGACGCACATTGTCTGCTGTATTTTTTTATGGGCAGTGTATCAACAACAGTGTCCTTCAATGTTCTATAGTGCAAAATAAAGCAGTGGAATCACTTCAATCTGACAAATAAATATGAACAGGAACTACAGGAGCTGTTTGAAAAAAGAGATATTCACAAGCTACATTCAGGACAGGTTCGTCGTCTTCATCTGTACTTTTACATTTTAGGTGGACATTGTGTCCCTACCTACCATGAGTCTACAAAACAGGGCTTTGTTTAGTCAGGGGACAGCCTTGTCCATAAAAAACAGTTTACAAATCCAATCCTTTTGGCACGGAATCCCCTGTTTTTCTCCCCTCTTTGACTGAACATAAACATGTTGTCTTGCTTTTTCAGACTGGTGGTAATGTACCTCTGTACGTCAACCTTTTGAACATTTCAACCTAAACGGCATATCTTACAATAAAAAGTTTTGAGGATTATAAAAACAAACAAACAAAGCAATCATTTCCTTAGAATTCACAGTTTAAAGTATGTATTCTAACAGAGCTGATCTGCAACCAAAATTAGTGCAGTGTGTGACCTGCAGGAGTTATGGTTGGAATTGATTTTTTTACACGTGAAGCTTATGGTTATTAAACCAAAAATCACTAGTGTGGTGCCCTTTCCTTAAGAAAACTCCTGCCGGTTTAAGCTCACTTTTATATTGTTAATAAATGTATCATTATTATTATTATTATTATAACAGCAGGAAACTGAGGAACTGGGAGTGACATTTGACATTTGATCAACTCACTCCTAAAGTCAAAGTGACATACCTGCTTTCCTGAGCTTCTTGTTCCTAAACACGGACACGATGACCAGCAGGTTCCCGATAACATCCACCACGATGGTCGTGATCAGGACACTGGCCAGAAGAGTCACCACCCAAGGGAAGGATTGGTGCTCCTCACCCGGGGGTCCTTCCTGCTCCGTCCCCACTGCCGCTGCAGATGCCGGCGTGGCGTTGCGCGGGCCAATGATCCCACCCACCATGGCGATGGTGGGCTCCTGGTCCTCCAGGGACATCAGTTGTGCCAAGTGCCGCGGGTCGACGAGTCGCATCGGGTGTTGGACGCGGATTGTCGCTCCATGTATCATTACGCACAGGCACGGACGCTCAGGACAGAGCGCACAGAGGAGTTACTGTGCGCATCGCTGCGCGCCATGGCACCATAACGGATCCTTCATTCGCTGGAGGTTTAAAACCGGACATTTCTTCTTTTTATTTCTGTACAGTCTTGTTTTTCTCCTTTTATTCCTACTAAACGAAACGATTGGCGGCACTCTGTTTTTGGATCATCTTCAAGAGACCGTGGTTAGAGACTGAAAACGCATCGTGTCCCGGTCCTGATCTGTTTCCGTTCACTGTAGGAAGATTTGAGCGTCTGGAATTGATTCTGTGAATTGCATCCGAGGTTTCATTCACAAAATCCGCCTCGCGATTCATGTGGTTCTCGCCTCATTCAGTTTGAGCTGCGGCCGGTTTCATTTACGCGCCTTATATCAACCCACACTGGTTCCTCCTCCTCCTCTCCTTCTCTCGCATCCTCCTCTTTGCATCTTTGCCTTCCTAGAACTTCCCCTCCCTCCTTTCTCGTTCTAAGGACTTTTTTATTTCCATAGTAGGACACTTATCTGGCCAGAGGTCGAGGTAATATTTGCACTTCTCTCTCTTCTCTCTGTCTCTCTATCTATCTATCTCTCCTCCTTATCAGGTCTTTCACTGGAGAGTACTGAATTTTCCCAGCGTGGGATTATAGTCTTATTTTAACAAGTCAAAAAATGTTAATTTGCCCCTAAAATCTGACACACAAAAAAAAAAAAAAAAAAAAAAAAAAACTCATTGTCAGTCAGTCAATCACATTTAATGGGTCACTAAAGTGGTCTGTCACTACATAGATATGTCACTACATGATGTGGTTATTTTTTGAGGCTCTGGCAAAAGAAAATAACATTTAGATATTTAGACATTTAGTTGGTGTTTGAATGAAATGGTTAAACCTGTGGTAGGGATAAAGTTCTGATCAGGTAGAGTGTCCAACTATAAACATCTGGATCTACATTAGCAGCATGGGTCTGGAACATGAAGAGAGAGAGAGAGAGAGAGAGAGAGAGAGAGTAGAGGATGAGGGAAGCGTGGAGTAAAAACACAAGATGGTACCCTGAGAATTTAAATAATTTATTTCCACATCAAACAAGACGTTCACCAAGTCTTTGGATTATTATCCAAATGCAGCAAATGTTCACCCCACCCCCTGTTCATCTCACATGCACTTTGTTGGTGTTTGAACCTCACATACACACACACCGAATATAATGTCACCCAGTGGACATGCAGGCATCCATGTCGGCATGGATACTGCAAACTAATCTCAATAATGTGTCATGAACACATTATAGACTAAATTCCATTTAGACATTCCAATTAAAGTGTTATTCTTTACCACAGTGTTTAGACAAGCACCGATTTTAATGAAAAATAAAAAATAAAATTCTCACATACCGCTGCTTATACAGTTACAAAGAGAAGCCTTTTGTTCAAGAAGGGCCATAGAGACACACAGACATTTGTTAGTTTTTTTTTTAATCAATATCACATCTCTCTGCATCTCGTGCGTCACCTATAACTATGTCTATTTTCAGGTCACGTTCAGACTTGTGCACATCGTAAGAACTTTATAAGTCAGACCACCATCTCACATAAAAAGTTGAAGAGTAGTAAAATCGAATCCAAGCCCCACAGCTCAAGAGAGTATTCAGAGAAAGCTTTCAGGTCTGTAAACTATATTAAAAAACCCATCAACATCCATGAAGGCAGTTGAATCAAAGCTCATGTACTCTTAAGTTCTCTACTGCTCCACATTTGTTGGACTGCAGGCTTGAAAACAAGTGCCAGTTTTGACAAGAAACATTAAAAATCTGGAAAATACATTCAAGTCCATTTTTATATGTGCAGCCCAAATTCACGTGAGATTTGCCAAGATTGACTTTTCCCAATGAACACTGGGGTGTGTTAGGTATACACAACTAATAACTAGTTATACTGTGTTTATCTGAATGAAAACAAAAATAAAGCAAAACATTTTGAAATCACATATGCTCCCTTTTAACAAAAATAAATCTCAGTATTGATTTCATTGCACAGGTGCCTAAGACCCAGTCATTAACCCTTTAGTGATATAGAGATAACATGAGGCATGGAACATTTATAAGAAATGGATGAAGCTGTACATGGACGTAAGTAAATTGGTGAGGGACATATCTGCTGGTCTTAGCAATGATTTTATGATAAGAAGTGTTTTGTGCTCTTGCATTACTAATTAAAAATATGTGAGATTGCATGTTCTTTCTGGAGCACATTCTTCTGCAGCACTTTATTTCAGCAGTTCATCAACATTAACTAGAGCATACCAACTAAACAAAGGCATTAGTGCGAGTGTAAATGGTTGTTTGACTTTATGTTGTACTTAAAACGACATACAACAGGGGACTGAGACATAATTAATCCCACTTGTGACGAACTCCGCCAGCTAATCAGCGTCATCATCACCTGCTTCCACCAGCTGCCGCTGATTACCTGCTCACTATATAGGTCTCACTCACACCACACGCAGTGTCAGATCGTCTTGTCTGTTGTCCGTGCATGATGTTGCTCTCATGAATTGTATTTGCTTTTGAATTGTTATATGTCTGTGGTTGTTTTGGTTTGTTCCCAAGTCCATATCTCGCCCAGTGATCATTTTAACGCTGCGCTTCGGCGGACACGTTGCCCTCCGTGGGCTGGTGGTTAGCTGGCAAAGCTGTATATACTTCCCTAACGCTCCTACCAACCGTCTAGCCCCTAAGACCTTTTTATAAAGCGGCGGAACTCAGACGCTGGCTAAAAGGAATCCCTGTCACACTGACGCATCTGCGCCGCCCATAGGAGATCCGCGTCAGTTTAGGGACCGTCTAACAGTTACTTTAGCACCGATTAGTTTTTCCCTGTTCTGAATTAAGTCATTTTGTCTTGAGACAACAAGACTGGGGGTCACAGAGCGTTACATAGGTGACCCTGACTGCCGCAGTTCCCTTCTACCACTTACATGATATTATTTTTGTCCTTCAACCCAACACCTTTTCAAATGAGACAGCCATAACCACCTCACTAGAGTGATATTGCAAAATGCCAGTCTGTCTCTGCATTCAGGGGATCTCCCAGGTACTCTAAAACATCTTGTTAACCCCACCATTTGAACAAACGTCTCAGGCGGTCTATTAAAGGTCCCGGACTTTTTGTGACTATGACATTGATTTTAGAATCCTGCTAATAAGGTAGAATACATTAAATCAGTAAGACCAGTAAGACGTATTGCCTTCCTGTGCGGTTTACACCCATACTAAAGGAGGACCATGACCATTGATCTTACTCCTAAGAAGGGAAATTTGAACTTTCTTTAGCTCTTATTAACCTAACCAGTCAGATAGGCAGGCATAATTAAACAAGCACACACTATTTAGGATCAGACAGAGTCCTTCCAGTCTTGCCTCTCTGCCCTCAACTGTTCTCTGCATGGCTGCCGCACTGCAGGAACAAAGAAATGCTGGTCCATCAGCTGTTGTGTGCCAGGGCCCAATCAGTGCCTTTGTATCGGTGTTCAGTCTGCTCTGCTTCCACCCTTGCTTCTTCATAGGACCCATTTTTGAAACAAGATTGGGGGTACCACAGTACCTTTTCCAGTGAGGTAGCCAAAGTGCAACAACAACCTCACTAGAGTGGGACTGCTAAACCCCAGCCTGTCTCACCTTTTAGGGGATCTCCCAGGTACTCCGAAATATCTTTTGTTAGCCCCACATTTTGATTCGACTTTGTAAGGGATCTGTTAGAGGTTAGCAAGGTTTAGACCCCTTGTTAAGTAGGAGTTGGGAGTTGTCTTCCATGACCGATGATCTTTCAACTTAGAAAGGTAATTTTGAAGTACTTTAGGTCTTATTTACCTAACCAGTCAGATGGACGGGCGTATCCAAACAACACTAATTAGGATCAGACAGAGTCCTTCCAGTCTTGCCTAGATCTTCTCTACATGGCTATCGTGTTGCAGAAACAAATAAATGCTGGTCCATCAATTGTTGTTAGCCTGATCCCAGTCAGTTCCCTTCCCTGTGTGCTCTGTCTATTTATTTTTTTTTAGCTCTACCTCTGCCCACTCCACTTTTCCAAGGACTCATTTTCCCAAGGGGTGGGGGTACTGAAATGTTCTGTAGGTAACCCTGACTGCCATGCTTTTTTTTGTTTTTGCCAGTTACACAAATCGTTTTGCACTCCAACCCAACACCTTTTCCAGTGAGGCAGCCAAGTGGTATAACCACCTCATTGGAGTGGGACTGCCTCCACCCTTAGGGGTTCTCCCAGGTACAGGAAAAATCTTCTGTTAACCCTACCTTTTGATGAGACTTCGCAAGTGTATTAGAGGTTAGCCAGAGGCCCAGAACTTTTCCTGGCTATGACATCGAGTTTAGAATCCTACCCAGGCCCACAACTTGAATCAGGAAGTGTGATGCCTTCCTGTGTGGTTTAGACCCCTGCAAAAGGAGGAGTTGGTTTCCCATGACCATTGACCAATGACCTTAGAATACCTAACTGCAAACAAGATAAAGACAGTGGTGCAGGGAATCATCCACAGTCCCTTAATTCCCAGAATTCCAACATGTTCTGGTGTCAGCGCCTCTGGCTTCAGGAGAATCCTGTGAACCCATCAAGGTAGATCGCATGTCTCTGAGCCACAAGGACCGGCAGAGCAGCTTAATGGACAATCTCTGTATGCACTGTGGCCAATTGGTACCCTTTGTGAGCAAGTGTCCAACAAAGTGGCCTGGTGCACCAGTAGGGAGAAGTCTTTTGATTTTCTTCAGGACCAATGGTGAGCATGCCTGACATGTCCAAATGATGCTCCAGCTCCCCCCTCAGCACTCCCTGTTTTGTCTGAATTCCACTGACAAAACCCTGACCAACCTTCTTGTTCCAAATGGCCATATAACCACAGCTGGCAGTTTCTCCATCTACCTTCTGACAGCCTTCATATAAGTTACCACAATGCCAACAGGGACACCTCGGATGAATACTTACTTTCCTGTTTTCCTGTTAATCTAGCACTGAGTAGTTTGTCCCCTGTCTGTCCCCTTTCGGTTCTCACTTAAGGGGCTCAAATGAGAACCGTCTGTGAATGAGGAATTCCTTCAATACAGTATATTGATGTGGGTCCTTGTTTCATCCTTATCAACTCTTTTCTGGTCCTTTTCAAGTTTTCACCATGCAAACATTATCAGGACTAAAAATCTTCATTAGTTTCTAATATAAGATCTGTTATTCACTCACCATTCAACTAAATAAGTTTGTGTACTGTCACAGACACACTTTTTTTGGGGGGGGGGGGTTTTGTCGTTGTTTTTTTTTTTTAAGGGGCGTACTTTTTGTGGCTTTAATGTTCTTTTTTCAAAGGGGAAAAATAGGCTGCCCTTTCATTATCTTCTTATTGATTCCTCCTGTTATTCAGGTCCATAATGCTGCAGTAAATCAACTGTTATTTTCACCTGCACGTGCTCAACAAAGAGGCATGTGGGTTTTATTTTTTTTTTTACTATTTTTCCAAGGATCTCTTTTAGCTTGGTGTGAGCACTGCAGAGATGGGAAATGGTTTACTATTGACCTTTCCACCTCCTTGTCCTCTCAGCCTTGTGCTGCCGACAGTCAAAACATATAAGTGGAAATTGCTGTTGTGATGAACGGACACGTGGACACATGAAATTCCAGAGGGTCCATCATCTAATACCTATACATCATCATATAAGTACCTCTGCAGAGCCATATGGACTACATTAGTGCTTTTCTGGGGGGCATAGAGGTTTTTTTCAGGTGTGAACTGAAAAGTGTACATTTGAAAGTAGTCCATGACACACGAGACAATGAACAGAAGAGAAGAAACACTGCATAATGCAACTGTGGTTTAGAAAATATTTACTTTTTTATTCTGGTAGAATTAAGCAGTTGATTTGACATCAGGGAAAATCCAATGTTTCCATCCTGACAAAAAAGCAGTTTAAGCCACTAACAGTATAATATCTTTGGTGACAGTTTTTAATTTTATTATGCAGAAACTGATACTTTGTATTTCCTGCTTATGTTGCTGAAAGTGTTTAGAAATGTGGCATAGTTGTTAATGTCTCAACAGTAGGTGCGTGTCGCAGTAACTCTATCAAATCTAGCTAGAAAATGAGCTAGTGCCAAGGTTTTAAATCAAACAATTGTCTATTATTTTTGTTTTTCTGTCCAACCAATTTTTTGTTTTCTTTTTCACCTCTCCCTAACACAAACACACACACACACATCAGAATATATAGCAAATATTTTGACCTGTTAACCTTTTATAATGTAAAAATTGAATAAACTGTGGGTTGCATGCTAACTATCGCATGCATTTTACATGCAGGCACATGCATAAACATATCAGTGGCAAATTAAAGCAAAAAAATTGAATAAATCAGTGGAGGTCACTTTGTGTTTCAGAGCTGTTTAATTAGCGACGATAATGATGTGAGACAGCACATCATTAAGACAAAATAAACTAATAATGAAAAAATGGAACATAATTCCAAATTGCACCAAAAGGTATTTTTTATACCTGTGACTTTTTTCTAAAAAACTAAACTCATTATTTATTGGAAACAATTCATTTGTAATCTTTAATTCAAACCCTAAAGCTTTACATATGCTTTACCTATTCTGCTGCTAATCAGGTGATAATGCGTCTGTCCTGAAATGAAGAAATCTGGAAAAGAAACTTTGAAAATGCAATGGGTTTGAAAAACTTGCCTTTATTGGTCTTGAAGACAAAACAGTTTACAGACTGCTGTTTAATGTAGGAATGTCGGATATTAACATTTTGTCCAAACAAATCCGATATCAACTGATACCGATGTAGGCCTGGTAATATTTATGTATTTTGCAAACCACTGCATGAGTTGCTGACACCAGCATTCTGCATACACTGATTTTTAAAATAGATCAGTTCATTGAGCCACTGTGCTGCCATCTAGTGACTTTTACTATAATACACAGCCGTTTATCTCCAAAACTATTTTCAGGCCACACATCATTTGGTGAAACCCAGGCATTGCGTTATCAGATTTTCATTAATGGAGGAAAAACCGATATTCTTACAGGTATTACATAATTATGCTTATATCGAGCCAATAATATCGGTCGGCCAATGTTATCGGACATCCCTTGTATAAATGTAATGTATACAGTGTGGACAGAACCTCCATGCCCCCTTTTTCCTTGATTGACGATTTGTCTTTGTCTTGTTTGATGGAAAGTTGCAGGGAAAGGATGTACGTGTGTGTATACACTGTATGGAGTACAATATGTGTGTGTGAACAGAGAACTCTGTGTGCATATCTTAACATACCAAGTGCTTCAATAATTACAGACATGATTCATTTCCTTTGCATTAGTATGCTGGAACTGTACAGGGGAGAACTGCAGGGATGAAAAATTAAGAAATGAAGTTCCCACTGTCTTTACATTATAGCCTGTTAAATTCACATTCTCATCAAACAGCATGAAAGCAGCAGACAATATGTGGCAGCTTTAATTTATTTTCCGTTTAGCATATGTTAACAAAAACTAAACACGCATGAAAATGCACAGAAAGTGTCTCCATAATTCTTTCATAATCATAACCATAATTAGAAATTCCCACAGTAGTTTGAGACTCCTGATTTAAGGATTGTTGTAGTTACATTAATGTTTTACTTTGGCTGGATAAACAGTTGTTTACTGACTGTTGATAAATAAATTAAAAGAAAATAAAAATGGATTTTAAAACTTCGTTCAGCCAATAAATTATGAGCCGTTTGTTCACACTTGCCCATATGCCAGCTTTTGATCAAGCCAGAGTTAAAACCATTGTCGGATCATCAAACGCTGACTGATCTGACTGTCTGGTGTGTTGCATTCAAATCCCAATCATTTCATTTAGATAACTCTAATCCATGTCGGAAGCTGCGCTAACGTTTTTTTCTCTCTCAAGACACAGTCACTGTAGACTATTTTCATCACATCTTATTTCAACAAAGCTCCACAAAGTCTTGTTTGTTGCCGTTGATAGAAGATAATATCTTTATTCATATTCTCTCTTTACATTATTCAAAACAAACAGCAGAACAATGGCATCTAAATAAAATCTCTGACAGAGGAAAAAACAGAGGCGAAACTCGGGCGACGACGGCTGAAGGAAGGGCGATTTATACAAAAATAAAACTTTATAAAAGAACGACGGATGACAGACATTAAAGTAAAGTCATTCTCTGCACAACAACAACACACCCGACTGTACACAGTCACAGTTCATAAGAATATCTGCAAAATAAAAATACAAACACGGACCCATTCTACATCTACACAATAGCAACATCGTCAACAAGGATAATGTTTAATTAAAATGAGAATTTAATAATGAGTTTAAATGCATATTTTCTTCAGTTGGAGGAAAAATATAATTGATCACACATGGAACATGTTTTGATTGATGCTGGGTTTACTTCTTCAATTCTAAAATTTTCAGAATAAAGAAAACCAATGGATGGCTTTTAGTGAAGTCTGATGAAATTCTGAATACATTTTTCGAATCATAATCCTGGCTACGTACTCTTGACCTCTGCTAACAGTGGTATGATATGTAAAAATATTACATTAACAATTTCATCTTTTGTTTAAAAAGTAATAACCACACATATAGTGGTTTTTGTAGTCTTAAATGTAGTGTTACATTTACTCAGCCACAATTTATTTTTTTCACCCTCGGACAGTGAAACTGCTGTTTAAGCAAAAATCTTGTTCAGGAAACACATTCACTTTATATATATTTATACATACAAACATTCAGCACAAGCAGTTTCAGACCAAAGGAAACCCATTAGTGCGAAGTGCTCACATTAAAAATTGGCTGCATTAACATTTCTGTACTTCTGTGAAAAACTCCACGTTGTGTTCATTTGATCCACACTTATGTACAAACAGGTTCTCACACGAACAAACAAGTTCAACACATTGTCTACATAAACAAGCCACAAGGTGAAGCTGTAAAAAGAATATACAGAATTTACAAATACACACACGTCAACTTCACAATGAACACCACGGTCAATAATCATCGTACCAATCGCTTTGTTTTAGTTCTGAGGATCCAGCCCCCTCCATTGTAACAGACAGTAACAACAAACCAGCAGTAAACCAGCCAGTAAACTGACACATGAGTTCAATTCGGGAGGAATGTACTGATATGACAGTTTTAATCGAATGAAGCTCTACTTTACAGTGACATCACTAACTTGTAATTTTGCATTGTAACAATTTTATGCAGGGTCATACAGCTCATTTATTTAGTGTATTAAACCTGCCTGCCACCAGGAGGCTGCAGGCTTCATACCACCTAGTCCCAATACCCCAGGTTGATTTGGGTCAAGAAAGGCATCACGTAAAAAATAAAAATGAAGAGAAACAATTTGGAAGTGTTTCTCCTCTTTTCTAATTAAGTTAAAAAATAATCTGTTCTATGTCTAAAATCAGAACTGAATGAGAGGACAATGAAATTAGTACCAATGGAGATAGTTATGGTGTCATTTTCTGTTAACCAACACTTCTTTTTATACACAATTAATGAGAAACAGACTCATCAACATTTTCTCACATGTCACTGGGAACAAGCCTTACTGTGGTTCTACAGCAGGGGGACGTGCACAGCATGATCACCCCTCAGACTAAAGGCTTGTTAGTAAAGTATCTTGGACTTCCCTCTTGGTTTAACTTACCCAGGCATCTTTCGTACCAGCAGTGAGGATTAAATGTCAGACTGTACTAAAAACATTGTATTTCTCACGATTTACGTTCACTCACATCATACAGTGCATACAATTGTACAGGCGGAGCAGTGCATAAAATATGATTTGAAATGTAGCAGTTCTAGTGACTGTGAAGCTCTGACTTAAAAAAGCTCTTGAAATAAAAAAATGGTTTGTCCACTTTTTTTGACAGTCAACACATGGTCAAGTATTTAACACTGTTCACGATTCACATATCTAACAATAAGTGGTTTCAGCTGAGACACACAAGATACTATTCCTCTCGGTGTCTCCAGCTAAGGTGTCAAACGAGTCTTTAAATACTCTGGTCCCGTCCAGTGTAACAAAAGTGCACACTGAAACGCAAACCTTTTTGCATATTTGTTGTTGTTTTTTTTCCAAAGTCCATCAGAGACTCGATCACAAAGCTGCCAGAGATTGGTAGAAACGTGGACAGTTTATTTTGTACCACCCTCAAAACATCACCTCTTCACAGCTTCCATAATCACTTCCCACCATGCTTGACCCGTCGTAGTTACGAGGGTTGGATCCAACCGGTCTGGTCTGTGGCTGGGCGGGGTTTGTTGCCGGAGGTGTACTGGGATGCTCGGCGTAAGATGGCATGGCGACGCTCAGACGCATACTAAGTCTCTTGTAACCCTGGACGCTGTCAAGGCTGCGGGTTTTCTGGGTAGGGTAGTAGCTGATGGCCGTGTATTCGTTAGGGCACTGGGAGCTGGGGAGTGGCTGACCATCAGGACCCAGGAACTCGTCCAGATTCTGATTGCTGTAGCACGGTGGGAGAGGTGCACGGCGGTCACAGCGTTCCAGTGGGAATGGGAAGCCGCCGAATCGAGAGTTCCTCCGTGAGTCCATGGTGGAGTTGGAGTACGTGTCCTCCACAATGTCAAACTGAGGGAACTCCTGGACTGATGGACGGCCGTAGTAGTCAGGGTCGGCAGGATAGACTGAGAAGAAAGGGGAAAAGGGAAGGTAAATATATTGGATCGATTTGAATAAACCTGATACAATATGTACTACTGTATCTGTAACCCAGATGTACAGTTACCTTAGGAGGTCTTGGTCTTGGAGACCTTTGACCTTGAAGTAAACTTACTGACTGACATACCGTACTGAAATAAAGCAACAGGTGCTTGAGGCCTAATCCCCTAAATTTGAATGACGCCTCACAGGGATTCACGATTACCAGAAAACTGAGAGGTGATCTACAAAAATATATATCAACAGTTGTTCCTGCTTGTTTTCAGAGAAAGGCAGTTGCTGCTACCTAAGCAGCAGAGAATACTAAACAGACTCCCAACTGCTCACACCATGATTTAGAGAAAATGAGACACATGACGGCATGAAGACAAAAACAAAATGAAGGGATTAGCGACAAGTGATGTTAGAGAGGTAGATGGCATTTAAATAACAAGAATAGAAGGAAGGGAAGAGGATACGGAGGAGATAGGAGAGAAGATATATGATTTGATTCGAATTTGATTTGATGTATTTATCTGAAAAGCATGAAAAACCTCGACAGCAGCACGAAATCTCTTTGTCCAGATAGGACAGATATATGAGGAGGTGCAATTTCTCCTGCTGTTTCCACATTCTGCACAGTTCAGTGACTTGTTAAGAACAAGAGCTGCTGCAGAAAAAAAAAGAACTGAGTTGCCGTGGGCAGCAACATGGATTACAAATGTCAGAGGTGCTTTATCTTGGAACAGAAGATTTAATATTCTTCTGTGAAATGATCATCCTCAGGCAGCAGTTACAGGCTTGACTCCTTCTGTTAGTCCGGCTACTAACAGTTCTAGCAACCAGTTAACAACAAGAGGTGATTGGAGTAAAGTACACAGCACGGCAGATTTGATCTAATACCTGACATTTGGGTCTATGATTGCTTACTTGTTCCCAGTGGTGGGTAATACGTTAAGGACTTAATAGTCAGGTTTGTCTAATGAGGTGTTGAGCTAAAAAACATTGATTTCCTCTGCGGAATGTTCTCTATGAATTTAGTGATAAATTGAAGTTTCCAGTAAAGATCATTTTCTTGGAAGATCACCTGACGGGACTAATAAGTTCAAATATTTAGGTTTTAAGTCAGAGGTCAATCCAGGAGCAGAGTGCAGGGTTAGGTCCCTAATGATAGTGTGGATGAATTGGAGACAAAGTACAAGAATGTTCTCATTGATAAGATCAAGCAGATGAACAACCTGCTGCGATGACATTGTCTAGAGATCGTGAGCATGACTGATGTCTGATCTGCTGCTCGTCATACATCTTTGGAACATGGCATTACATAGTAGTGGATGTGTGACTCGCTGTATTGATCCATTACATGATGTGGGAAACAATAAATGCACCACACCAGGTGGGGAAAATGGGGACTGTCCAGAAGAGAAAGATGAGAGAGAAAACACAGAGAGGTTGGAAACAGAAAAACCCTGTTGTTAAAAAAAACAATAGGGGAAATCTGAGATTAAACACAGTGGGCTCTTATAGAAGTGGCAGATTATGTCTTACACAGATTAGACCTGCATAATTGGAACTGTCCATTGGTACACCAATATGGCCGTGTAATAATAATGAAAATGTAAATAAATAAAAATTGAACCTTCATAGTCCATGTCCCAGTGGTTCTTTCTGATGGAGCCATTGTCAGAACTAGACGGAGGCCTAGCAGGAAGGTTGGGGGCCACGCTGCACACAACTGGACCCTGTGTCTTGGGAGAGCACAGGGTTATCTGGCTGCGAGGGCGGAGAGACCTGAAGGGTGTGTGGTCCAGGTCGTTGGTGGGACAGGCCATTGAGTTCATTTCGATGGGGTTGATGTGGTGGTTGTCATTTTTATGGTTCTTGGCCAAACTGGACGTGAGATAACTGTAAGGTTAAGAAGAGGAAAACAATTAAGTGTCATTGATGACAGTGATAATACAACATGTGATAACACTTCTTTAAAAGAAAGTGTTAACTATTAACCCTTAAGACCATTCAATACAACATCTCGTGGTGACTTTGATGGTTGACACCTTCCTGTGTGCCCTTTGAGCTAAATATTTTGTTCAATGAAAGTTTGCATGGGAATCAAACTGACTTAAAACCATCAGTTTTATAGCAAGATTTGATGACATGTCCGTGAGGTGCCATGGCTGTAAGCACACAAAAAATAAAATAAAATACAACATCTGAAGTGAACTAACCCGTTGGAGTCCTGAACACACACTGGCTTCTTCTTCTTATTCTGAACGTAACGTTTCCTGATGCAGACAAAGAGGCCAACCAGAAGGAGCAATCCAAGAACACTGGCACTGATCTCCATGATCTCCACATAGCCAATCATTGGATTTACCTTCTGGGACACAACACAGACTGAATTCAACAAACTGTGGGTCGCAACATGTAAAGTCATCAATTGTGGGCTTCTGACAAACCTGAGGCAGAGGATCACAGTGGATTAGGCCGTCGGTGATCCTGCAGTCAAAACCTCCAGGACAGGGATTTGGTGAACAGAGCTCTATCTGGTTGTGGCACCTGCAGAGACGAGAGATTTACACTGAGGTTTAAATGCATTCATTCAGAGCAGACATTCTAATAAAACATTGTTCAAGTAAGACAACGATTATATAACAATTCTCGCTGTCATGACGACATTGACAGTAAAGTCCAAATCGTGGGCATACTCAACTTAAAAACGAGGCTAGAAAATGTTAGAAATTTGATTTTCCTTTTTTTAAATTTTCAGCATTATTTTATTTTCATTCAGCAACGTAGAAATTCAGATTAACTGCCACCATTTTTCTATGAAGTCTTAATGCAAATGTGAAGCTGTTTGTTGGACCAAAGTACAACAGGATCAAATGTCTCTGCACGCTCTACAAGTCAGAAACGACAAAGATTCTGCAAATCACAATGAGGCTGGTGGTCATTTTTCTTATTTTCTCGGTTAATCAAAACCCTACCTGGATCATGGAACAACGTTAATGCGCAGTTGGTCCAGGATAAGGAAGAGGAGGAGGAGAAGTAAAGGTGGTTCAGTTTTACTGCTGGATTTAATGAGAAAGCCAGAACATGCAAATGCTGTGGTAATCTCATTTGAACGTGACTCCTCTCTGTGGTGGAGGCTGTGGTTGTGAGTGGAATAAATGTGGCTGAAAGCGGCTTGCATGTGTGTCTAAATCACACACACACACACACGCAAATTATAGGCAGTGTGTTCATGTTGTTCAAGTGCTGTTGGTTCTTTTGTTTTTGACCTTGTTGGAGTCACTAAAAACAGTTTATTTCTACACCTGTTTAGAAAACATCATATTGAACCTCATTAACAGTTAATACAAACACTGTGATCCTGATTGACTGTTAAATATGTTGTTACATAGTAACAAATATGTAAGTTACATAGTAATACATGGAAAATGGCTTATTTACTTATTTTTTATATTTATTGAAACTGTATTGAAGCGTGGGGAAAAACGCCAGGGAGGAACACGCGTTTACCTACATCACAATCTTCAGTTTCAGAAACTTTCCAAAAAGAAGTTGTGAAAAGCAAGACAACCTCTTTATATTATTTCTTGTGTCTTTGGGGTTAGATTTGTAACTTATTTCATCAAATGGCACGTCTATATTTATAAGCTAGTGTTTGTGTAAGACTTCCAGACACAGAGGTGATGATTTGGGCTGATACCTCAATCTTTTCGAGAAAACAGATATTTTCCCCCGCGGCTGGACTTCAGACGTGTGCAGTTTTGTAATATTTTTCTGCTTTCATAACGCTGTATATTTGACAAACAAGCTTGGGTACATATGTTTGTGTACTCTACGTGTTCTCACCGTGCGCCGTTGTCGCTCACAGAGCAGTTGCAGATGTAACCTTGAGGCTTGGGTACACACACCCGTCCGTCGGCACACGGCTGGGAGGCACACGGGTTGTTGGTGAGCTCGCAGTGAGCGCCGTGGAAGTGTCCTGGACATCTGCACCTTGGCTCTGTGGAGAAAGAAACCACACCCAGATGTCTGAGAACACGGCAGTGAAAACAGAGCTTAAAGTCTTTAAACATAAGTCAAGGGTATTTTGGTACATTTTTAAAGAAATTTCCCAAGAGATCAGTGATTCCATCACTTTACTCACAGGTGTGAAGTCTGAGTTTCAACTTCTTTTAAAAAGATTCAAGTTTTCATTTACTCTCAATTGTCCTGGAAATATAGATGTCCTGAGGACATTAATCCTCTTCTTTGAAAATAGCATGTGAGAAACCAAACCATTGCAGCATGCTAACACTGAAGGGAATAAATCAAGTTTTGTTTTTAAGGAGTTTGTAAAACCCCCTTGCAAATAATAACTGTGTCACTTGAATTAACTCAGTACCATGCTTGATGTGAGGTACTTTTACTGAAGACACATGTAGAACAAGTGCACTGTCATATATTTTTTGATTGTACTTGATGTGGGGAACAGTAAAAGCGTCTGCTCAGCCTCAGGTCACAGTCAGGTCCGTTCAGGTTGTTTTACGATTCCAGAATCTCACATCTTCCTCTCTTACAATAAAACTGTCAGGCTGACTTGCAACAAAGGGAAAAAAGGATTCACGTTATTGACGAGAGCAGAGTCGTGACACGGAGACAGTGTCGGAGGTCAGGTGATAAACAACTGCTGCATGTGGAATGAAAATATGTTTAATCTACAACAGGGGAAGATAAAAAGAAAGCGACGACTTCACCTGCGTGCTTAGCCTTAAATGGTACAGTGTGTGTTTTGTTTTTTTCCCCCCTCGGGCAAGTCAACATCAAAAGAACTTTACTGACCACCACAGTCACGCAAATGAGACCTGTTCTACTGAATCAATGTGACAGGAGATCTTCTAAAACATACCTGAATCAACTAGAAGCAGCTGCTTTGCCCAAATTTAAAATGGTAAAGGTTAGAGCATGTGACGCTCCGTCGGTTGGAACCAGCATTTAAGGGTCAAAGTCTCATTGAGCTAAAAGATAAGGAACTGATGGAAAGTGGTACAGTATACTGTATCACCATTCTAATTATTATTATTATAAGTAGTAGTAATAGTAGTACTACTATTAGTAGTAGAAGTGATACTATTAATGTTAGGATAACAATAAAATGTGGTTTGTGAGACTTATATGGGTCATGAAACTGTAATAGAACTTTGGGGGTTGTCTGTTTTTTGTATTGGCAGACGTTAAACATTTAAACATTTCTTTTCTAGACCCTACTAGCCGTATTTGGGTAAATCACCACTTTGCTCCAAAACGGGAAACTAAATTTTATAAATGATGTGCCATACCATCCAGATGGACCACGTGCCAAGCACAAATGACTGAACTATTATTGTCATAAAAGATTGAGTGCTTCATAAAGAACTGGGTCACAGCCACAGCGTGACTGATCCTATCACTGAGTCTGGCTGTTTGTGTAAGTTTCCATGTTGCCATTATGTTGAACGCAAACTCTCCTGTTAACAAATACAAACAACCTGAGCCCAAATTTTCTTCACCTGTTGAAAGTCCTTTTCTGGATGATGTTGCTGCCCAGACTTTTGTGCCTGAGGCAAAACTGAAACGATATCTTATGTACTGCATGCTGGGATCAAACATAAGTCCAGACTGGAACGCATTCATTTATGGTCAACATATTTTCTTCTTAAACCAGAGGAAAGAAAGCCATTCCACAGTGTGCTGACATAACTGGTACAAAGCTGAGGTACAGAAACACCAACAGCCTGCAGCGCTTTTAATATCAGCTGCAGGCATTCGTTTTGTTTGCACTTCTTCCAAAGGGGAGTGATGTGAATCTCTCAATCTCTGCAGCTTTATGTTTGGCTTCATATCCACCTTCACTGAAGGTCTGCACATGCTCCTGAGAGGAGTGTTATTTTAAAGCTGCTGCTCTTTTATCGTTGATATTTCTTGTTGTAAACAATGCTAAAAACCATGGAAATGGAATACTGTAATTTAAGGATATTTCAAACTGCTGAAAAATTATTTTCATGAACATGAACTGTCATTCATCTTGGTTTTCTTAAGGATTTCTTTGGCCTCATAGTTTTGTCACACATCATAAAAATGACCTTCAAACCTCAATATTTATCTGTTGATGTCTTTACCTCCACTGGCGTCCTCCTCACAGGTGCCTCCGTTCTGACATGGGTTCTTGTCGCAGGCTCCTGCCCTGCTGCAGCACTGGTACACCCCAAACACCCTTCTGCTCCCTGACCCAGTCCACTCCGTCGTGTCACCAAATCTGATTGGCTCCCTGTTGAGCTTCAGGCCCTCCAGACAGCCGATAAAATTAGGTGCATGCCCGTCGACCTCTGCCGCCGCACCCTGAGCGAGCGACGCAAAGAGCAGAGCACCGTGGGAACCCATCAAACGACAAGGCTCGGCCAGAACAGCGGAGGCCGGGTGGTGCTGGTCCAGCGTCAGCTTCAGGGTGGTCGAATTGACTTCCAGCAGAACATTGTGCCAGCGGCCGTCTGTCACAGAAGCGGACGGTGTGAGCAGTGAAGCAGATGCGGCGTTTCCACAGCTATATCTAAAGTGCAGCTCCCCGTTGGTCAGCTGAGAACAGGAGAGAAGCGGTGAAAGGTTAATGATGCACAGATTTCTTAAGGCAACAGAATGAGAAATAAACAAGCAGATGAAACAAAGATGTGGATACTAACGCAATACATCTAATCGTTTGTTCAAGACTTTTCTACCAGTATTTACATCATCATCCGATGCCGTGAGACATCCCTGTTAGAGAAAACTTACACAGAAGTCTACAGGTTGAGGCCTGGTAAAGCATGTCATTTTCTAAATTTTGTTTTCAGTGAAGTATCAATGATGTGCACACCTGGAGCAACAAGTTGAGAATAGATGTTTTTGGAACCTTAAAGGTTAATGAATGTACTTTAATGTGCTCTTAAAAGAGTTAATCTCTTAATTCTCATCTTAATGTGTGCGATATTTTCATTTAGCTGATGTTCTTTCAGAAGCAGCTGCGTCCCCAGAGCTAATCACACCTTTGTTGTTAGCATTTCGGGGATTTTAGTGATGGAGAGATGTTTACGAACTTCAGTTTCCAGTAAGAAATGGCTGTGCAAAAACCACATTTTAATCCACAGACGACCAATGTAGGCCATCTTTGTTCGGTTTAGGATGATCTGATCAACAAATCTCACATGTGTTGACAGCTGCGGCTCATAGGTCATTTGTCTCTTTGTTCCCGCCCCTGGAGGCTTACGGTGTTAGGAAGATAAAAACGACTATGTTGTTGTTGACAAGTCATTTGTATTACTTGCTGTCTCCCATGTTACACCCACACACACACACGCACGCACCCACTCTTTACCATTTTGCTAACTCAGCGTTGTTACAAACTAACGAGCTAGCAGCTTCCTCTCCTCCCTTCACATCTTTCTTATCTCTCCACGTTCCTTTACGTGAAGTACAGCTGTGTTACTGGTGCATTAAATAAACACAAGGGTTGTGTGTTTTGCAAATTGTGTGAAAATACGACTGCCTCAATCACTGTTAGACACACCAACCAGCAGCTGTGATGCATTATTGATATAATTCTGCTCAGCTGCTGCTTCCTGACCATGAAGTTTTGTGCCTAACAGTTCCACACTTTCCACCTTTGTTTTCCCACTGTGCTATGCTCTGGAATCAGTTTGCTGACAGGGAATTTGTATTTCCTGTTGTTTGGGGTAACTTGGGAGGTAAGTGCAGAAAGTGAATGAATACAATGATACATTTTGCAAAAAGAAACTGGAAAACATTCTTCATGTGTGACAGAGTCCTCCCTCAGGAGAAAAGAAGGGGGATGAGGGCAGTGGGGATGATCTAGATGATGTAGATGTGCAGGCAGAAGAGGCAGAACATCTTTTCAGTTTTTTTTCACTCCCCTTCCATCTATTTTATATGACTTTGGTGCGACTTGGATATTTGATAAGAGATAAAGCTGCTTAATGCACAGAGGTTTTGACTGTATCAGCACAGCTGATGGAGCGCAGGCACCACGTCAAGTCAAACTCTGTGGGGAGCAAAAATATGTCTCTTCTGTGCCTCGAGATTCCAATAAATCACCTGCTCCGTATGCCGTCGTGGAGCTTCCTGAAGGGAAACTCCAGCGCTAGGGGAAAAAGGGGGGGCAGAGTTCAGTATGCAGACAATGCAGTTGCCACAGCTCTCACGTGTTCTGCTTACACGGGCTAAAGTGTACAGAAATCCATTATTTCATATATAGAGATATGACGCATTGGTGGTGCATCCCACAAATAAGAGCAGTGTTGGTGTGATCCACATCTAAACTACAGCACAGCTTCTATATAAAAGAAAGTCTTATCTCCTGCGAGTGCTTACACAATCACTTTTTTTATAGTGAAGCAAAATCAGTGGGTTAAACTGTTGTTTGTCACTTAAGCTACAGCATCTGCACTGCCATCTCAGCAGCTACCGCTGTTGGAGGCTTTGCACCGTGCGTGTGGTTGTGTGTGTGTGTGTGTGTGTGTGGGGGGGGTATTTTATGCTATGCTCAAAAAAATAGTAAAAATTGGAGTGGCATAGAAGTATTTGAGGATGGTTCACTACAGTCATAGGGCAGCTAGAGGTTGTAATACATTAGAAATGAGCCATTTGCAGTGATGCCGGACTGGTTTAGACTTAAAGAGTGTGATTGGACACCAAACTTCCAGATTTAACATGGTTCAAGTTGTTGTCTTACTTTATCTTCATGGTTGAACACAGTAACACAGTCTTTCCACAGACAAATTACATTGTTAACATTAAGTAACATTGAAATTTACAATACTCCCCTGCTACGTCCAACCACAGACTCTAAATGACTGCTGTCCACTAACTGAAAACAACAAAACTCCTCACTCCAAATACATCTATAATCGTAGAACATGTCCAGGAGCAGCAGAACCAATGCGCTGCTCTCTGCTCAGTCGTGGAGATGAAAGTCTAAACTGACATGAAGGTCAATCAATTTTATAATCCCACAGCAGGGGAAAGGGATGAGTGTTGCTCCACTGATTCCACCTCAGGATGAATGTACACTGCATCTCTGTTCAGTGTTGGCAAACTGCTGTGTGTTCACGTCTGAGTCCTGTCACTTTTAGTCTTTGGACACAGTGAATATGCTGCTGCAAATAGGTCTGGACATACTGTATGTCTGAGCCCCCACCATCCACTCTTCCCGCTCTTTAATATAGCTCTCAGTAGAGAATACTGATCAGGTTTGGTGGTTTGAGAAGCTGCAGTGATACACAGGAGCCGGTATCCTTAGAGAAAAGAGATGCACAAACAGCATCTTCCGTCTCCAGGCACCATCTCTGAAGTTATCACAAAAGCCTAGGTAGCAAAGACAGAGACTTCTCAGATGACCAGGCTGGGATATTCTCTTTGAATTTGCAATTTCTGCTCAAAAGGAATCAGGGACCAGTGCCTGGAATGTACAAGGAGGAATCCAAAATCCCAGAGGAAGAACCTTGAAAAAGACTGTACTACTCCTCTCTTTCACATTTTCTTTGAAATAAAAAGATGTGGATGTCACGCAAATGAGAAGACACTCACATGGGGGAAGCTAGATATTTGTGCTATTAATTTAGAGAATTATTCATTGTCATGTGAAGTTGTATTCTTCACATTCTCTGCGAGTGTGTTGTCTCTCATACAGAACAGTAGAGCTGGTTTTGTGGTGTTGGAATGACTCTTGTTGTTCCCTGAGGATTCCAAAAAAAGTGCATCAACAATAAAACGGCAATTCTTCTTCACAACAGCTTGCATGGAGGAGATTCATCACAATAAACCTAATCTGATCTTAAGTTACACTACATACTGTATAACTACAATTGCTGGTAGTTTTATTCCTTGTACTTTTTTTGAAAATGTCTACAAACCTTCGTGCACAATTTCTGAATGTATGTGACATCATTGCCAGCTTGAGGCAAACGTAGACAGCATTACCGTCATATTGCGACAAAGCTCACGTGCTACATTCACAGGCATCAGACTCTCTGTTCCAGTTAAAAGGGCATTGATGAACTGATTACACTGGGAAACGTAAACCAGACGAGCACTGCTGGCATTTTAAATCCAGTGTGAAGCTCCAAACGTGAGTGGTGGGAGTTTGGCTTCAGCTCTGATATTCACTCAGGCGTCAAAACAAACATCAACACGTGCAATAATCTGCCAAACAAAGATAAAAAGCAGACGCAGGCCTGATATGGTCAAATGTGATTACTGTCTGTGCACCAAAGTGTGGAAAGAACTGGATAGGATATGGAAAATAAAAAAATCTCCCAGGAAAAGTCCCAGAACAAAAGTCCTGGCATGGATGATGTTTAAGTTATAACCTGGCACCAGGGGACTAAGATTTTGTTTTTAATTATTTAAGGTTTAAATGTTAAGTCTAATTACAGATAAAGGGGACAAGAGACAGGGTTGCTCTTTAAAACCTTTTCATAATTATACAAGATATAAATATCAAATTATTGATCCAAAAAGTGTAAGAATCTTTTCTTCTACCTCTAGATTTTTTTCTGTTCTTTTAATACATTTAATCAAAAAACAAAAAATACTGTTACGAGTATAAATGTTGGGTGAAATACTTCACTATATATACTATATAAATACATAATGTTGTGATTAATGTGAAGAAATGCAATAAAACCAGTTAATGTGAAAGATATTAGATATTTTTATTCTGTACATTAATCCCTGACTGATGTCTCATCTGACCACTGATATCTCCAAACACGTGTCTCCTGCACTGATAGCAACATATGACAGCTGGTACCCACTGTTATTGACAATTAAGATGGTATCAGTTTATGTTAGCATACAGGATTTTTTTTATCACTTGGAGCTCGAGTTGTAAAATAATAATAAAAAACCCCTCAGCAGATGCTGTGAGAAAATCCACCGATTAAATCTACGACAATTAGATTTTATCGCTCCCACTGTGAATGGATGTCAAACAGTAACATTACGAACAGGATCCCAAACTAGAACCTAGATTTAATTTCATAACCCGGTGAATATTTACAATTCCTAAAAACAACTCAACGATTCTGCGTCCTGCCAGTTCTCCTGCTGCTGTAACGGTGACATGTCAAGACGACAGAAAAAAGGGACACCTTTTAGTTGGTCCAAATTGTCCGAAGCTCAGTCAGACATAATGTCTCGTCTGCACTTTTCACCAACCTTCCAACCATCAAGACAACGACTGTGGAGGCAGCACACAGGTTTTTGTCCTTGAACTAGATCTGAACAAAAGCTGTTTACAAAGTGCAGCTCAAGTCAACGAATCCATTTAACGGCCTTTTCAGCTTTGGTCTAATAGGCCTGAAAACTGATGGCTTTCACGCACTTCCTCTGTTAGCTTGGATTGCCGTAAGCAGTGTTGTAAGCACTGCCATGCCGGTGAAGGTGCCCTCCGCTTCTACAATGATAAGGGTTTAGACCAGAAGTTTGCAACTCCCTCAAAGGGATTTCATTGTACATTCGGTAGCAGTTCCCGCCTTTAGCTTTTCGACAAAGACATTCTGAAGTGTATGTTTCCTAAGTCTCCTAAGCGCTGTTTTCAAAATGACAAACAATCATGAAAAACAATCTATGCCTACAGAGACTGGTTGATGATCTTTTTATATGTTATCACAATAACCTACATAGTTACCAGATCACTCGTAGCTTAAATAAATGTGTTTTGAGCATCTGGATCCACTGCACTTATGGTCAAAGTCAATGAGCAAAGGAACATTTAAACTGCGTTTCCCATGAGTCACAGCTGCTCCTTGGGGGAATTGTTCCAATTTTAACTATACATTTATACACATGTAAAAACATGGAGAAACATGAATGATGATTCAGGTACTGTACTACAGTATATGGTCAGAGAGATAAATACCTGTAACATCCCCCAGTGGTTGGTGCTGTTAGTGAACATGATGAGACCCTGACTCTGGAACGTCTTGAACCTCAGGGACACCTTGAAAACCTGGTCGTCCTCATCCAGCCCGTGAAGATACTTTAGGTAGGACTTTCCGTCAAACCTCACAGCCGACTCTGAAACAGAGAAATACTACTGAGTACACATGGCTTCCTTAAACTGTTTATTTAGCTGAGTTACACACAGACTACGGTACCATTTGCTATTGTTTACCTGGTCCATTCATGCATGTTTCCCTGTCTCACAGCCACATGCAGATACAGGCAACCTTGACCCCTACTCTCACACCTAGGGCCAATTTAAAGAGTCCAGAAAACCTAAGCCTCACTCTGTGTGTTGCTGACCGTGAAAAGAAACTGAAGTACATAGAGAACACTCATGCACACGCTGGGAGAGTAACTCAGGCGCCTTGGATAGTACCACAAGGTCATAGGAACATACTGACCCACAAATGGTCATAATGCCAGTGATGTTATAACATCTTTATCTATGGATGACCTGTGATGTCATAAGAATCCCAGAGTGATTAAAGGGAGGACACAGTAACAGCAGTGTAATAATGAACACCATTTTCTACTTCATTTTCTCCTCAACACAGAACAGCGTGTACTACTTTAACAATGACCCACTGTCAGAACCAAAGCACAAATGGATTGTCGTGCACTGTACCTACAATTTCATGAATGACAGAATTCATTCAACGAGGTTGACTTGAAACGTTTTGAAAAACGAAGGATGATTAGTGAATATCATTCGACAGTGTTACTTTTTGTGACATCTGTGAAAAGAATGAAATTTGTTGAATAACACGCTACAAAATGAAGGATCTGTGGGAAGGATCAGTGACAACTTCCTCCCACAGAGTTTTGCATGAATGTTGTTCAGCTGCTCCACCAACTTTCAAACTGACCTTGTGCACCACAAAAGGTATACAGCTATTGATTGGGTTTGTCGAGGTCGCAAGTCGAAAACCTCACAAAAAAAAAACCTTCATATAAAACCAAACCCTGCAGCTTTTATTAAAACACGTTCAGGACTGTATTAAAGCAGGTTTTCAAAATCAAGGTTCTTATCATCATTCATTTTCTCTAGCTGCTAATTCAGCTACGGAATTTTTTTTTTTTTAACAAACATCCATTGACTCATTCATATGTTTCACAGCATGCTGCCGTCGCCATTCATTGACCTGATAATAAAACAACTCCTCACTTCTCACTGTGAACAAAATCACACTGATAATTAAAGCTGTTGATTGACTACTTCATATATTTTTAGTGAGCAACATTGCAGCCTGACACCCACAGGAGTAATTCATCACATCATTCATAACATATGAAATGTGGAAGATGAAAATTGTGAATCAACGACGTGCAGCTCAGCGCATGTCCAGTGCTTTTATCTCACCGTGTATCTTTAAAGCATTAAAATCGGAGGTAGCACCAAGGACAGTTCCATCTACTGAAAGTACTCAGTCCATAATCCATAATTTACATGTCACAGATTACACAGATCTGACCACCACAGCTTCACGTTAGCAGCAAAGTAGAAAGAACAGCATGTGTAGGTAAAGGAGAACTCGACTTCAACTCCTGGTTTTTCTCTTTGGAGTCACATCACACACATACCATTGCAAGGACAGACGCTCTCCCAGGCGTGTTGGGGGGTGATGTAAGCAGCCCTCGCTGTGGTGAAATGGCCCAGTCTCTCTGGCGTCAGACGGACAGCGTTCGTGCAGCCTCGTGGAGGGCAGCCACTTCCAAGACACCCGTTGTGACTCACCCTGAGGATGCTCAGGCCCAGAGTGTCCTCGATGTCTGATATTATACCTGTGTCAAACAGCAAAAATCAAAGATGGGCACACATCTAATCTGACAAATTCCAGCTTCGTTCTGTTTTTTTTTTTTTTTTTATTCAAAAAGGTATATTTATAACATTATAACAAAGAAATGTGTAGTAAATCTAAAGGTGAATGCTTTTTAATATTACGAAAGAAAAATTGAAAGCTGCACAAAAGCATAGGTAGCCTTGACAAGAATTTGAATAATTAAACACGTGTAAGAAAAAAAAAAGACAAAGAAGGAACCTTGAGTACTGTATTATAATTCTCGAATGCTGCTTCTGTTTAAAACAAAAGGCCATATCTATGAAGGGAAGCTGCCATGTAGGAGGTTTTAATCACCTGCTAGTCTGCTGGTTGGCAGAGCCTGGACTTGTGCATCCCTTTGTTTCCAGATCAACAGAGCTTCCAGGACCTGTTCATCCTTCTGCTGCTGCAGACTGGCCAGGTGAAGCTCCTGTCTGGGTAAACTCAGGGCTTGACCTAGGCTACGCTGGAGACCTCTCCAGTGATCACCCAAAAACTCCTCTGGAGACAATCCCACCAGCTGCAGGGTCAGGCCCGAGTCTAGGGCCTTCTGGTCCGCTGCCCACACGTGGATTTTGACCCCAGCCCAGACGTTAAACTTTCCGTCGCTTACGCTGACATTGAGCGAATATGAGCCCTCTTCCAGGTTTTCATCTGCCCAGATTTTACCATCTGCCATGTCAACCGAGAACCTGCCCCCATCTGGGCTTTCAGACACCAGCTTGTAGGTCAGGATGTCCTGCAGGTCCTGGTCAGAGGCGTGGAGTCTACCAATGACCCGGTTGGCAAACAGGCCTCCAGAAGTGGTGATGAAGACTTCCAGTGGTACTACAGATGGAGGATACTTGCTCTGTTCAGTGACATTGATGTTGACCACGCAGATGGAGGAGAGAGGAGGGTGACCACTGTCTGTTACCTGAGAGAAGCAAAGATGACAGTTTTGATCATTAATAACAGGAAACTGTGGAAAAAAGACACCTCCAGAGATCAGGGTCAAGATTCAATGGCGAAAAGGCTTTTGAGAGACAATGACCTTTGTCTATTGTTTTCCTCTATCACACAGTACTTTTAAAGCTCTCTCACCTGTATCTTGAGCTGATGGTGCGATTTCACTTTTTTTCTGAGGGGAGCAGACAGAGACAGGAGACCACCCTGGTCCACGTTGAAGCGCCGATCCTCGTTGCCACTGATAATGTGGAAGGAGAATGGAGGCCCATTCCTCGGAGTGTCCTTGTCAGTTACTACAAGTTGGAGGATGGTGCTGCCGACAGACTCCCCCTCCTAGAGGAGAGGACGTTTGTTAAAGTACTTATATTGTGTCTGTTGTTTAATTCATGGTCAGTACATGGTAACAACCAGTGAAGGAAAGTCAAAACCAATAATTGAAAAAAGAAATTGAAAACTCGCACGCCCTTCTTTGTTTTCTCTCTTCATCATACAGTTGTTCACAGATCGATACATTTTTTAATGGTGGTTCCTGATTTGGATCTGTGACATTCTTAAAGATTTTTATACAAGATTTTTTTTTGCCTCGATACATTTTTTAATGGTGTTTCCTGATTTGGATCTGTGACATTCTTTTTTATACAATTCTTTTTTTATTCAAGATTTTTATACAAGATTTTTTTTTGCGTTTTTTACCAAGAAATATTGAACTGCCCTTTAATCAGGGAAGGTAGCCTTTGTGCTACAGGATTAGGATAATCTATAGGTGTTCAGAAGACATTTGTACATTGATTAAAAAGCACAACTTCATGGGTCCTTCATACCGTATTATGAGTGTTAAAGTTTTGTATATATGACATTTAGTGAAAATATTTGTATTTCTAAGGCCTCTGCCAGACAGATAGAGACAGACAGATAAGTGCTACGTCTCTCTGTCTCTTCCTTTGAGGGTGTTCCCAAAATAAAGAGACAATTGTCCATCTGCTGCTTTTGATTAAATATCAACGAAAGCCTGACACTCAGCCAAAAACCCTCACTGCAGCAGATGTGCCGACTCTAAACTTGTCAGACAAGGACGTTTGATGACCACAGTAGGGTTTAAAACTTAAAATCCAAACCATTAACGTCTCTGTTTCAGCAATAACAGAGGAAACATGCACAATAATTCCTACGGTGTAGTAATCTCACTCTGCACGGCACGGTACTCAGAGTGCCCTCTGTTTTCCTTTCCATTTATTCAGTGGTTAAATGGTCTATAATGTATTTTTTTGTAAAATGATACACAAGTCGAAGGTGAAATCCACATGAGACTGTGTGAAGGTTTTTGGTTTTGAACTCTTTCCATTGTGTAATGAGCGGTGAGTCTCCCCGTCTGTGGGAGCTGCACTTATGGGTCACTTATGGCACATTTACACCAAGTGTGCTGAAGGGAGAGACCTATAGAAGGACTGATGTAGACAAGCTGATTGTTGGTGATTTCTCATCAATTAGCTCCAGTATTTAGTTCATCTGTCTTCATTATCCTCTCATTACACCAGCAGGAGCAGCACTGGTCGCAGTTCACAGCAAGGAAAAAAAGAGAACAAACAAACTAGCCTGGCTTTCCTCCCTAGGAGCTGCATGTTCTGCTTATATTAACCTTAACATGCAGAATCACATCCAAGTGCCCTGTTCATATTTTCTCATTGGGTTGTCAAATTTCATGCATGAATGCGTCGACTGCTGCTGCTGCTGCTGCTGCTGAATCCCTGTCTCAGGACACTGAGGGGGAGGCTGACAAACAGGCACTTTATTTTGAAGTGTTCTGGGCGACAGTTTATTTGTCAGAGCACTTGTTGTTGTCTGTTAGTTGGTGAGTAATTTGCGTGAGGTTTTGCTGTTTTTCTTATATCAAGAAATGCCAGTTTCTTTTCTTAGTTAAAAAACAGCCCGAGGCTGTGAACGTGGTTGGTGTACAAGTACGAGTTGTTATTTTTTTCTCGTCCATACTGATCAGTGATTTCTCCACAGAGGTCAAATCACAGAGTCACACAGGCCTAACGGCAAAGAGCCCGAAGCTAGACAACAGGGTGTGCAAATTGATCACGTCTATGTGTACAAAAAAACAAACATCTGAATACATTTATCTTTACGGCTGTGGAAGTGTTAGGACTCTCGGTCTGAGCAGAATCACGAGCAGTCCTGCTGACATACCTGCAGCAGCAGGTTGTGGTTGACCTGGGAAAAGACTGGTGGGTTGTCATTGACGTCTGTGACGCTGATGGTGATGTGGACGGCAGATGACAGAGGAGGATTCCCCTCGTCTGCTGCCTGCACTGTCAGAGAGTAGTGAGGGATCTGGAGAGGAGAGGAAGATAAAAGAAGAGAAGATATCATTTATTTCCTGACCCTTATATTGACCCACTTTGGTTTAAAAAGCATGAAATGAAATTTCTCATTGGTAATTTTCTGACCTCCTCCCTGTCCACTGCAGTCCGTACAGTGATTTCTCCACTACGAGGGTGAATTGCAAACTGCTGCAGAGGGTCTCCGCTCACTACGGAGTAACGCAGCAGATTATTGATGGGACCATCCTGATCAGTGGCTATTACCTGGAGGAGAAAAGAGAGGCAATATTTCACAAAATGTAGTGGCATTAGCTTCTTTATCTGCAGAATTAGTTTGTTTCAGTGTCTGGTCGATAGTTCAGGCATATGATTCACTCCCTAGATTTAAGGAATAAATATTCTTGGTTATCCAAAATACGTTTTTTTTTTTTTTTTGTATATTTGAAAAAAATATATATACTGCTCATTGCTCTTGTCAATCCACACTGATTGACTATTTTGAAATAATTGTGTGTTTCTCCTCGTCTTGATTTCCAACCTATATTTCTGGGTGAAAATAAAGCCTGTCATTTTCCAAAGACTTTCTCCATCATTGCATGGAAATGGCAAAGAGTTGATGTGATTCAGGTAATGGTAAAAAAAAAAACCACGGGAATGTGGAGGAGATGATGGGCAAAGAAAAATGTCAAATATAAAACCGTGTGATTATAGACTCATCATCCTGCCGCACTCTGACCATCAGCCAGCTACTGAGCTGTGTTATTGCTGTGTTATCTCCTCTGCTGGACTGACAGCTGACGACTGACATGTTGTCATAATGAGAGACCATGTGTATGTGTATGTATGTGTGTGTGTGTGTGCATGTGCGCCTGTTGGTGTTCATGAATTACATGTTTATTATCATTTTTTTCTCCACGTGCATCGACTGTTTGACCTTTTCAATATTAAATGAACTTCAACTGTTTCCCCGTCTGACAACTTAATGGAGGAATAATTTAAAGTGGCTTTAAATCATTAATCTTACATTAGTTTCCTGTGACCTGTAATGGTGAAACACAGTGACTCCTGAAAGGTCAACCTGTGTTTGAGGTGATAACTCGCAGGGTTAAATGTGCTGTGAATGTGAGGCCGCTCTGCATCCAGGTGAAAGGAGAGGAAAATAAGGTTTACATAAAAGGGTGGCTCTGAGTTTGTTTCTGTTTGTTTTTGTTTTTTGGAGCATCAAATCAGATTTCTGTCCCTACACTGCTTGTGTGTCCGCTGTACTGCCTACCGTACCTTCATCACCAAGCTCCCAGGCGTCAGGTCCTCTGATATCTCGGTGCTGTAGTCACCTCGTCCAAACACTGGCGCGTTATCGTTCACGTCCGTCACGTTAATGATAACCGTGGTGATGTCACTGAGGGACGACTTCCCACGACTTCCTTCCACAGTCAAGTAATGCTCCCGTGAAACTTCAAAATCCAGCGGTGCCACGAGGGTCAGAAGGCCTGATGCACAAACGGAACAAACAATGTATAATTATTATTATCAAAGAGCAAAAAACACGCTGTTCTGGTTCCTTAATGCGGAAAAAACAGTTGCGTCATGTCTTTATTTAACATTATGGGATTTGTGAGATGAAATATTTTTCATTTAAGTGGTTTAAAGTTGATCAGACTGCCTGGAGTGGATTCAGAGCAGAAACATAGAGGAATTTGTTCAAAGTTTCTGGTTTTAGTCAGCATAGCTCTTTGGCTGCTGGAATGAATCATCACAAAAATGTTAAAACTTGGGAAGAGTCAAAGAAGTGTCTGCTCTGCTTTAAAGATTGATGATATCAAAATACTAAATATTTCAGGGTGAACTGCAGGAGGGTTTGGATCAAATTAGACACAACACAACCTCAACAAGGAGGAGTCTGTAAGATATGACATCACTCGTTTGAGTTTTTCTTTCAGTTTGATTTTCTCAAAAAAGTTTGGCTTAAAAGAGCATGATGACATTAACATTATAAAGCAGAGTGAAATGAAAGAGGCAAATATAACAGTCATTATACACGAAGAAGAATGTGGAGAGGTTGTTTGGTCGATGTTTTGACCTTAAGGGGAAATCCAGACATAACATTTCTGTGAATTTCTCCATTTCTATGGCCTGAAAGAAAGAGAAAGAGGGAAAAAATGAAGCTGATAAAGCAGCCTAAAGCCCAAAGATGTCATCAAAGGAGAATTATTTATCATTGTCTGTGACAGAGTTACGTGACTGACTGTGGTTTATTACATTATGTTCGCAGCAGCTGGGTCAGAGACTGACAGCGGCGTCTCACAGGAAAGTAGTTCATGTTGACTTTTAAAAGTAAACACCAAATCTTGGTTAACTCCCTTTGCTTTGTTCACCAGCAGTCGCTTGGTTACCAGGGGAATCTAATCATATTTCTTGGCAATACCAAACACTATTTTTAATAGCCAGGAATGGAATATTACATTAATTAAATGATATAAAACCAAAAAAGATGCAATAAAGCACAAATGATCCCTTCTCTCTCTTTGTGTTTCTATTGTGTACCAGTTATCGTGCCTGCCTTACACACAGAAGGTCCTGTGTTCGAGCCCCAAACCACATACTAAATAGCACCTCCTGTGGCAGCCTGTGTGTCTCACTGTATTTCCCCATTGTGAGACAGATAATACTAAAAAAGATGCTTTAAACCCCAAATGTTTCCTTCTCTGCACCAGAAGAGGCCGTCACTGCTGGAAACTCAAAACAAAATTACAATCCACCAGGAACAGTAAGACGTCATGTAATAATCGCAGTTAAACTACTTCACTTCAAATTTAACACTCAACACTTGTGTACTAGCACTTCATATATGAAGCATGTCTAATGAAATCAGACGATGCCCAGATTAAAAACAGACGGCTCGACGTATTCATGGTCAGATCAGGATTTACACCATTAACATAGTAAATCACCATCATTCCTGTCGAAGTGCAGGGTTTCTGTTGTCAAGTCAAAGCCGTTTTATAATTAACATTATGAATTGTTTTGCATCAAAAAGTGGGTCGTCCTGCAGGAAACCTTTTAGAAATGATGATCCTAATCCACACTGAGATGAATGTATGCACGTCATCATCATCATCATCGTCATCATGGTGCTCCTCTCCTCACGTACAAACTGATGCTAATGCCACTCTGCTCCAGCCTCCATCATATTGAAATGCAAAACATCTATTATGCAGTGACAGGTGTAATATACTACTGAAATGTAGTATAGATGTTCTCGCGGCACCAGCAAGCTGTGATGAATACCACCATAAGTCAAGCCCACATAAGTGTGTGCGTGTGTGTGTGTGCTGTCGTGTATCATGTGACATGGCTGGTGAACTACCCACTTTCGCCTGCACACTGAAGCTGTGAGTTTAACCTTTAAGGAATCATAAATCTCTACAGGCCGCAGCTGGCTGTCGGCCTCCTGAGCTATCTGTCAGCCACGTGTGAAGTCCAGCATCAATTCATACAGGTGATAAAAGAGGCATCACAGTCTCTAAAAAGGATTCACTGTGTCACAAACTCCCACTTCTCTCTGTTTCTGTTGAGCCGCTCGGTCTCACTTCAGGTGGTTTTCAGTTTGAGCTGATTTGTCTGGAGTGGATTTTCACAGACGGAGCAGCTGCTCCTCCACTGCTGCTTATTTCATCCTCACAGATCCTTCAACCAAGGTTTGAGGTTCAGTGTTAACCCTTGTGAGTAAAAAGTCTGTCAGTCTATTGGTACCCACTGTTCACTAAGTGTATTAAGAGATTCTTTCAATTGTGTGTGTGTGTGTGTGTGTGTGTGGGTGTGTGGGCCAGCTTCTTGACTCGAACTTCATTAAGAAAAAAAACACTAGAGAAACAACCATCAACTCTTCCCCTCCAGCTAAACACCTCCAGGTTTCAACAAGTAAATAATTTGCACCTCAGCTACAAGACACACACACACACACACACGCATTCATGCTCACTGAGTAAATGTCTCTCCTTATTGATTTATACACGATCAAAGAGAGTCCTTCTTATTTATTTCACTGGGATCCAGCGGCCGAAGTCGACTTTATTCATCAGCAGATTCATTAGGAAGTTAAAACCTCATGGTTTCTGCGTCTCATTGACTCACAGTTCCATAATCTAACTGTGTATTTGTATGAAATACACTGATAATTTATTTTCTAAATTGTTGTTTTGCAGTTAATTATGCTAATACATGGCATTCATCCTGTCTGCACATTACAGGGTTACACGTTAAGTGATTCGTTTCGCAGTTTGTCTGACAACTATTGACTTCCAGTGACGGATCTCTGACTCCGTCCTCATTGTATTTCACACAGAGCTCTGCACAGCACAGAGCTGCGCCTCACAAACAGGAAACTGGCTGAAGGTTATTTGGCACGGAGGACAAAAGAGACTCGTTCCCTCATCTCGTCCTGTTGTGTCAACACATACAGCCGCACACGTACACACGTCAGTCTGACACGGAGAAACTCAGAGCAATTCATTTGTTAAAAACATTGCTTCAAATGTAAATGTTAAGGTAGAGTGAAGTCATATTAAGGTGTAGTGTTTGTACCAAGTATGAATAACAAATCTAGGTGACTGATTTGTCAGCAGAGGCTGCAGAAACGCATCATGGGAAAAAGCAGACGGGGGATCTTACCAATGTGTTTGCCACATAATGCTACTGTTAAATAGACGTGACAGTTACTCTTTTTAAAGAGGACACTGGAGGTTGTGTGTTGAATATCAGGGCACCTAATAAAATACTGACATGAATTTGGTCAAGTATAAGTTTTAACACAAAACAGTTGTCATGTCTGTCTGTTCCCTGTTCCTGCTGTGTGGGGTAATCAGTGTCAACACATTCTCTGAGGACGTTCTCTGTGTCTCTGTCATTAGTCTCACTAGTGTCACCTGGTGCCCTGGGTACATATGCCTCTCCCTCACTCTGTCCTGGTTGGATCATTGTATCTGTTTGTTGTGTGTACCTGGTCAAGTCTGTTCCTGTGCTCAGCTCAGTGTATGCTTCAAATTATTAGTTTGTACTTAGTAGTTCATGGCTCGTCTGGTTTATGCCTTGTTCCTGGCCTTGTGTCCCTGTCCTTCACTTCACAGCCTAATTCATTCAGTGTCTGTTGTAATCAGGTGGGGTTTTACTGTACATGAATGAATGTCTGTACACACATTTAAGGAAGAATCAGCAACAAAACCCCACGCAAATTCACTTTTCTGCTATTGGTCATATCAACCATAGGTGAGGTCTGCTGGTTTTTTCTGCCTTCATGGCTCCTCCAAGTTCAGAAAAACAAAAAAAAAGTTTTTTAAAAAGTAAAGGAAATAACAACGATGTAGGAAGCGTGTTCAAACTCCACAGCGCCACAGCACACGCTTCAGTTCCTGTGTGATTTTAAACAACAGTGAGTAAACAGACTGAAGAGGGAAAGGATGTTCCAGCCCAGAAGGAAGTGGAGGTGTATTGATTTCAGTAGGACACACACAAACACACAAACAAGTACTGCAGGGCACGTAAAGGTTACTGCCTTCCTCCTTCAGAGTACACTGTGTGAGTTTAAACAACTTCTATTGGACATAACCTCCAACACCACCACCACCACCGCCAGACCTTGACTTGGAAGAAGACCATAGTGTAACCTCTCCAACACCAAACTTTTATCATTTCCTAAGCCAGAAAGTGTCCTCCTAACCTGTCGCATCACTTTCAATTCTCTGCTGATTCCAGGAGCAACATCCAAACCAAAGACTGAGGAATTTCAGACAAAAACACACACTTCTGCACCAGTGTAAACTCTGTGACTTATTGAATTTACCTCATGAATAAAAACATGTTTTCAGACAGTGATTAATGAGAACAGGTTCTTCTGGAAGTTTCATGATTTGTAGTGCAGGTGGATGCTCCAAAAACAACAACGTGTTTCAACCCCAAACTTCTGAATGTGTGTAAACATTTGGATCCAAAACTTTAGTAGTGTTTTGCGACCCCTGAAGGGAACATGCCAAAGGAAGTAGAAGAACAAGAAAACCTAAGACAGGTTTTTATTCTTCAAGTCTTCACATTTTTGAAACTTTGTTGTAAAAGTGTGTTGAAGACAATCCATTCCTACCTGTTCTGGAATCCATCAGAAATCGTCCATCTTTGTTTCCAGAGATGATACGATACACGACCGGATGTGGCCCACTGACACCAGTGTTGACAGCTGAAACACTCAATACAGTCGTTCCGACGGCTGAGGATTCTGGGAGCTGGGCGGCAAACTCTGAGCTCTGGAACACAGGCTGGTAGTCGTCCAGAGAAACCACGTCTACAGTCACAGTGGCTACGGAGTAGAGGTGTCGAGGTAACCCACGGTCCGTGGCCTTCACCTTTATCTCAAAACTGGGCGGGGTGTCCGGGGTCAGAGGTCGCTCCAGGCGTAGGACACCGGAAAACTCGTCCAGGGAGAAGTAACCGCTGTCGCCAGACAGAAGCGAATACTTCACTTCTGAGTTAATTCCTGGAAAAAAAATAGATGTTGCCCAGTTAGACGTGGTTATTTTCCCCACTAAGTCGTATCTTTAGCTACTTTTGCAAAATGTTTTTGAATTGTATCTTTTTCTGAGTAGATAAACTTTTGTTTATTTATAAGGGACATAAAATGTATTGTCTCAAATAATCAAGGATAAACCTTTAGTTAAAGGTTCTTTTTGGTCACCTTTGACCTATTTTTTATCTAGTTTTTGAAACTGACAATATTGAAGCATTTCTATTTAAAACCTTATATAATTATTTGCAAAAGTTTTGAAGGTTGGGTTTTAAAATGTCAATGGCAGCTCTCTGTATTTCTGCCTGACGTGGAACTGAGTGAAGTGAAGCCCTGGAGGCGGTGATGTGTCTTTCAGTGACAAACCACAAACCACACACAGATGAATCAGAGCTTCAACCTGCTAACACACACATCTCCACCTCTTCCCCTTCAAACACTCCCCCAGAACTCTTTATCCTCTGACCCTGTGGGAACTTCTATCTTCAGGTAATTACACAGAGTGAGACGAGGCCCCTGATCAAAGGTCAACATTTTTTGTTTGACATTAACCACGAAAAAGGTAAAAAAAAAAAAGAAAACCTGAGGTCATTTTTTATCTGTTTGCGACACACATTCTAATGACTGTTCTAATGACATTCACGGTGGTTGATCAAAGAAAATTAAAAAGCAATGTTTTGTGTGTTCATTTTTAAATGGCTTTTTTGTTTTTCTGATTGCCAGAGTTTATTCATGTCAAACGTTTATAATTGTCTTGGCAAATAAAAAAAAGAAAATTGTCAGTGTTGGATTAGTCACAGGTTTCTGTGAGAACAAAGCTGTTGAAGAGAGAACACAGACAAGCTGCTGCACATCTGAGGGAGTGGCTGTGTGTGTGTCCATGCGTGTGTGTGTGTGTTACTTGTCTGAATTAGTTTTTTGTAGCGCACGTTGATTACATTCTTGTACAGTGTACAGTGATCTGAAGCTGTTTGTGTGCGTAAATTTTGTGTGTTTTAGAAAATAACGTTTGTCAGACTGAACTATTTTATCATCCGTCAACAGTTGAATGTAAAAACGTGTCTGCACAAAACAGCTGGAAATGAATCACAGGAAGTGTGTCATCAGGTGGTTCATAGTATGTGTAGAAACAATGGAGTCTTAAATCATATTTAGGATAAAAAAACACACACTGTCAGGTTCAATCCACTTCTCTATCTGTAAAAATATCTCTCACCTGTATCTGGATCCTTGGCAAAAATGACAGCGACGGGCGTCCGTACAGTCGTGTTATCGAACACCGTGACCTCGTAGTGGCTGGAGGAGAATCGAGGCGGGTTGTCGTTCATGTCCTGAATCATCAGAACGATGTCGGCCTGGCAGGACCGTCCACCACCGTCCGTTGCCTTCACAGCCAGGGTGTATTCGACCACCTTCTCACGGTCCAACACGGCAAAAGTGAACAGCTCACCTGTGGAAGGGGGGAAAAAAGAAATCAATCAGCGTTTGCACATTGTTTTTAAGATTTTAGTTCAGATTTGACTACCTAACTTTTGGGAATTTAATGTGCTTATATAAAAATTAAATATCATGTGACACAAGTTGTTAAAATATGCATGATTTAAAAAAACGTTAAACAACACTCAAAATTCAGTTTTTGAGCTGCTCTGCCCTTATCTGTGTGTCAGTTTCAACCACAGCCGATGAAAGGCTGAATCATCTTTAAAGTCCTTCAGTGACTGAACACTGACTGTATCTGATGCTGAAACTATGTAAAAGACCATTAGTGAGATGTTTAACCAGCAAAAAAAAAAAAAAAGAAACACAAGGCTAAAAACTGCCAGAAGCTCCAGACCATGAATTGACATTAAAGTTGCACGGTGACTGTGGTGACAGACATAAAGTATGATGGATCTCACTGGGCTGCTTCTAAAATATTGTACAAAAGATTCAACAGTCACAGAGTTGTGGCCTCCAGTCAGCGTGAAACTTGCTGCAAAGTGCCGACAGTGACTCAAACAATTAGCGGGAGGGACATGTTTTCACCCCAAACAGAGGACATTTTACCCGTTCTCTGGTCAAGATGGAACTTGTCTGCGTCAGGGCCGTGAAGCGTGTAGGAGACCAGGCCGTTGGCTCCGACGTCTGGATCCGAGGCAGAAACCTTCAGCACAAACATGCTGGAGGGTGAGTTCTCCATCACCACCTCTGTGTACACAAGCTGGAACAGAGGAAAACAATAATTAATTTTTTATTATTGTCAAAATGTATTTATTTAAGACTTTGTTTTGAGAGATTCAAGATAACCGAGGTCACACAGTGGATATCTTCATAACGTGGTTTATTTGAGCTTTTTGTGAAATGTGTCGTGATTGAATTGAATTAGCTAAATTCTCTATACAGAGCCCTAATTTGCTCACATTCACCTTTAGCTCCACAAGGTCATGAAGCAAAAAGATAGAAAAATTAAAATGGCTTTGCTAACATATTTATATTTATCCTTGACTTTTTTAACGGGACATGAACTTTTCCTGGATACCTCTGGATGATCTCTAACTCCTCACCTGTTCACACACTGGACTGTTGTCATTGATATCCAGGACGTGCACATCCACGGTGACCGGAGCCTCAAACTTCCCGTCAGTGGCCGTGACTCTGAGCTTGTATCTGTCTATGGTCTCTCTGTCCAGAGGCTCTTTGACAATCAGACCCCACTTGCCCTCGTCCTCCTGAATGATAGCGAACTTACCCGACGGATCCCCATCTGCAGTGAATGAAAAACAGTTTTGGTTACTCTGGTCGTTGAAATATTATTCTAGATGCCAAGTATTCGCTAAGTATCGTGGGAACTGTTTGTTTTCTCTGTGCAACTCACTCTGAGGTAACCGTGCCAAGTGCCTAGAGTGAAAATCAACACATTTTAGCTTCTGTTTATTCACGTGTATCTTGTGCCAGTCATCTAAACAAAAGTTCAAGAATTAGAAAAAAAATGGGGAAAAAAATCACACCTAGACCCGTTTAGGGTGTGGTCAGCTCCTTTGTTTTGTTTTTGCTCTATTTAAGTGTTCAGTCACTCTGTGGCTAAAGGCCAGACTTTTTCAGTTCGTCAGTTAGAACTGAAACCTCTTGGATGAAGAAGTGAAACGTCACAGCTAGACTCTGCAGGTGAACATTAAAATTTGATTTGATTTATTTTGGGGTTTTTGTTTTGCTTTTAGTTCATTTAAGATCCATGCAATTCAAATAGGCATATATATTTTGCAGGATGTTTGAGAATGTAGTTTTAAAAGCTCACAACAGCCCTGTCAAGAGTAATGTTACTCTTGAAAGACCTGGTTTGACTGTGACAACAATGGGGTTACATGTGACTAATGTATTGTTTATTTCTTTTAAATTGAACGGTGACATCTTTAAAACACGCTGCTTCCATAAACTAAGTTGAATTTTCTTGTTGTCTGCCTTTACTGTCATTACAACATCTCTGTGATTCACTGTTTTACATTCTAACAAAATCTGCTTTATTTTCTCCAAATAAAAACCAGGAAAGATCTTTGATGTGGATGTTACTCCTCATGCATAATTCAGTCTTTTCTGTTTTGTTTCTTCACTTTTGATTAGAAAAGTTTCAATTCCTATCTCAGGAACTCTCAGCTGACACTTTTATTTTAATCCTTGATGAATAAGGTTCAGGTCTGGTGACATGAGGTAACACTGGTGGCTTTACTTCTCATCAGGTTCAGCTTTTTCCTTCCATTCTAAGTGCATTGCACGACTTTTGCTGTGTCTTTTTGTTATTTGTTGTTGTTGTTATGATTATTCTGCCCGCCATTGTTTTCAGAAAGATTTTTTTTGTATTTTGCAATTGATGATAGTCTATGTGCAAACAATCAACGTTCACTGAAGAAAATATTATATTATATACGATTCGTTTGTGTTTAACTGTCCAGAATTATAATAAAGACATTAAATAAAATCATTACAGTTATTTATTATTTTTAAACATGAATGATTCTGGCCGTGGGGACCTTTATTACCTAATATTTTTGTTTCTTTATGACAAGCCACAGTCAAACCAGACAAATGAATCCGGTGTGACTATACCCACAATTCATTCTCTGGAAAGTGTGACACTGACTTGTTTGTCACAGATTTGTTTGTTAGGTGGAAAACAAGAGATTTGAATTAATTTTGTTGGCCCCTGAGTATCAACTGTGTATTTGTACTCTCGTCAACAACAGTTTCTCTCTGTGATCACAGTTTTACTGAAAAATAATGACTTAAGGACCAAATAAAAATCCATCTCTCTGCTAATTAGTGTAGAGTTAAGTGAATGTTTTACTGCAGTTAGTGTCAGTTACCCCTTAGTTATACTGGTTATTAGGAGGGTAATCTTAATTTTAATTACAGAAATTCACAATACATGCATGCACACTAACAAGCCTCACTTTTACACTACACACCTGTAATGTAACAGGTCACAAGTCGGTTCTCAAGTGACACGTCGGCATCTGTGGTCGTCATGGAGACGATGACTTCTCCAGGAATGCTGTTCTCCACCACTGAGCCATGGTACACGTCGTCAGAGAACCTAGGTGGGTTGTCGTTCTCGTCCATCACTGTCACCTCCACCAGGACGCTGGACGACAGCTTGGCGTCACCCCCGTGATCAGTGGCCACCACATTGAACCTGTAGACCCTGGTGGTCTCACTGTCGGTCTCGTGTGCCGTGGTGATCCAGCCATTCTCACCATCGATGGAGAACACCTCAGTGATGTCCATGGTCTCCTCTTGAGGCAGTGACTCTAAAGTGTAGGTCACAAGACCATTGTTGTCTGTGTCTGGGTCGTTGGCGGTCACCTGTGCATAGACATTAGGGGTTTATAGAAGTACGTTGTCTTATCAATGCTGAATTGAAAGATGTAAACTCTTTGATTTACTGACTTCAGGACAAACATCCTTCATCTTACCTGGATAACTGTGGTTCCAGCCGGCATGTTCTCTGCCAAAAAGGCTCTGTACGGACTGGCATCAAACACTGGTTGGTTATCATTGACATCCTGCACCTGAATGTTGATAGAAACCAGTGAAGCCACATCTGTCCCGTTGTGGTTACCCTGGGCAATTACATCTATCTGGTACCACTTGGTCTTCTCGTGGTCTATGGTCTTCTGCAACAGCAGAGTTCCACTTCCCTTGTCCAGACTAAAAACCTTGTCCCGGTTACTTTCAACTGTGTTTCCATTCACTAGACTGTAAATGAGAGGCATGTCCGAGTTGGCTCTCACGAAACCCACTTCTGTCCCAACAGGCAGATCCTCTGCAGCGGAGAATGTGTAGAGAGGCTCTGCAAACTTGGGGAGAGGAACCTCAGGAGGAACCACTTTCACCTGAACAGGAACTGTAGAGTTATAGAAGGGGAGGCTGCCATCACGGGCTTTGACTTTGAAGTTAAATATTTTGTTCTCTTTGCCCACCAGACTCTCTTTGACACTCACGACTCCGGTAAAAGGGTTGATGTCGATAATGTCCTCGGTTACTTCTTCAGCTTCGTCCACAGTGTAGGTGACGTCTGCATTCTTGCCATCGTCTGCATCATAGGCCATTATTTGAATGACAGGGGAGCCTTTGTTTACAGTTGACTGAATTGAAACCTGGTATTCAGATGCTTTAAATTGAGGTACGTTGTCATTCTCATCTGTGAGAATAACTTTGACTGTGCAAAATGCCACTTTTCCACCACCGTCTCTTGCCATTACCTTAATTGCTATGACTCTCTGGGATGGATTTTCTCTGTCCAGTGGCTGGGTTGTAACGATCACCCCTTCTTTATCAATGGCAAATTTTTCATCTGCAAGTTTGTTAATAATGGTGTAGTCAACGCTGCCATATGGACCGTCGTCAGGGTCAATGGCTGCCAATCGGATCACTCGAGTTCCTGCATCAGCATTCTCAGCCAGCTCTGCCTCGTAGATGCTCTGTTTGAAGTATGGATTGTGTTTATTACTGTTGATCATGTCAATATTCACGGGTGCTGTTTTTTGAAACACGCCGTCAGAAACTGCAACAGTCAGATTGTAGTAAGGATCCAGATTCCTCTTGCATACATTAGAAAATGAGATTATTCCAGATGATTCGTTGATGTTGAAGTATCGACCCTCATTCCCTGAGATGATTTTGTACTTGAGGTTGTTCAGGTCACCAGTATCGGGGTCTGAAGCTTGGATTTTGACAACTATGTGGCCACACTTTGCCATTTCATCCAGAGCAGCATCGTACTGGGAATTTCCAAAATCAGGGGGGTTGTCATTGACATCTGTGACATTAACAAACACAGTGGTTTCACTGCTGAGAGGAGCTGTACCGTTATCTGTGGCTCTGATTTTCAAGGTGAAGTGGTTTGTATCTTCATGGTCCAGTACTTGTTTGGTGACAATCCAACCATTGTGAGGGTCAATTTCAAAATAATCCATTTCATTTCTTTCAGTTTTTACCACTGTATATGCTATGACTTTATTTCTACCTGAGTCCCTGTCGGATGCCAACATTTGCATCACTGAAGTTCCAACGGGAAGCCCTTCAGCTATCTCAACATTGTACATACTCTTTGAGAACACTGGTGTGTTGTCATTTACATCTTCCACTTCTATCTCTATGGATGCCTCTGAAAAAGATCCTGTCACAGAGTCAGTGGCCCTAACGGTTAACACATGCATGGTTTCACTTTCGTAGTCAAGAGGGTTGGTGATGGTAAGAACACCTGTTTTAAAATCAATGTGAAAGTGTTTGGATGCATTTTCCTCCTCGAGGTTGTAGATGAGACGATAACCTTCAGGATTTCTGGCCTGGACGTGTAGGATGGTGGTGAAAGGGGGGACATTTTCAGGGACTTTAAGTGGATATAGTAGAGTCTGAAAAACTGGGTTAGTCCGATTCCTGACTTGAATTGTGAGCTGGGAGGCTGAACCATGGGTGGGGTCACCTTCATCTATAGCTCGGACTGTCAACACATACCTGTTTAAAGCTTCAAAGTCAAGAGGCCTCTGAAGTGAAACATCACCTACATCAGGATCTATCCTGAATAGGTCATAGTCTTCTTCAAGTGAATATATGATGACTCCATTTTCTCCTAGATCTTTGTCAATGGCTGTTACTTGATACAAAACATCTCCTGGTTCAGAATCTTCGGATGTCATCATTGAAAAAGGCAAGTTTAGAAACTGCGGTGGATTGTCATTGACGTCGTCTATAAAAACCTTGACCTGAGCTGTGGCTGTCCTGGAAGGTGTTCTCATGTCTTGGACCTTTACCACAACTTCATACACGTCTTGTTCTTCTCTATCAAAAGCAATACCAGTTGTTTCAAGAACACCTGATGTTCGAGAAACCGCAAACCTCCCCATTGGGTTTACAACAGAATACAGGAGAGGCTCATTAAAATAGCAGCCTCTGGTTTTTAGTGCCACCAAAGTCTTAATAGTTTTGAGGTTTTCTGGGACACTGGCTGTATAAATATTTTGCCCAAATCCTAGATCACTAACTGTGAAGTTTTCCATGTTGATCATAATAGTGGCAAAGTCTTTGTAAAGGCCATCAGTGGCTTTAACCATCAGCTGATAAAGTGGCTGAAACACAGACACATTGTTCACAGTGATGAGTCCAGTCACAGGTTGAATTGAAAAAGCATTGTGAAGATTTCCATCAACAATGCTGTATGTGACCTCCGAATCAGCATCATGGGCCGTGACGTGCACAACCTCTGCATTTTTGACGGTAGGATAAGTGATTGATGTCTCATACACTGGGGTGGTGAATTGTGGCGGACTGTCATTGAGGTCTAGGACATGAACGGTGACCTTGGCAGGCTCTGCTGCATACAGTGATGGCTCCCCTGAGTCCTTCACCTGCACAGTAAACTGGTAGTCGGCTTTGGCTTCAAAGTCAACTTGTGAAATTAAAGAGATGGTGCCCATGCTTGAGTCTATCTTAAAAACTTTTAGGGCTTCTTGTTCAAGGATCTCATAGACTAGCACTGAATTTGAATCTCTGTCTACGTCTGAAGCCTGAATCACCAACGGAGTGTTGGTTTCTCCCATCACCATGCTGTTAACAGCTGCCGATTCACTTATTTTTCCAAGGTACTGGGTTTTCTGAAAAACAGGAGCATTGTCATTCTCATCAATGACATAGACGTAGACGTCTGTCTTGGACGAAGCACCAGCTGTGGTGGAAGCTGTAACTTTGAGCCTGTAGATGGCAGTATGCTCAAAATCAATGTGTGTTTGCAATGACATCAACCCAGTGAATGGGTTGATTAGAAATGTTCCATTTTCATTGCCGCTTTCTATCCCATAATGAATGGCAGCTGGACTAGTTGCAGTAACGGTAACTACTGGCATTCCAAGGGCACTCAGTTCACTGATCTCGGTCAGGTACTCGTCCAGAGGGAAGGTGGGTGGGGTTTGGTCAGAGATGCGGATGTAGACGTGTACAGAGCAGAAGTCACTGCGCTGAGGAAAACCCTGGTCAGTGGCTTTAACTGTCAGGTGATACTGCTCCTGAGGCTGAAGAGTCAAAGGTTTAGAAATGGTGATGGAGCCCAGCTCTGGTTCTATGGAGAAGACGTGGTCGATGTTACCTGCAAAAGAAGATTTTTATTTTTTATTTTTTACTAAAAGAAGTAGCAAAAGACTTCGGAAAACCAAAGTTTCCCAGAGTTGAGTTCAGTCAGCAAAGGGAATGTCTACTGGTAATATAATAGGCAGGAAATCTGTTCAAACTTATTTTATTACTTTTCACATCTGTGCATATAAGAAAATTTTAATATTTAATGTTAATTCAGATTCTAATTTGAAATGTTAATATTATATCCATTAATGTTATGTTAATGTTATGTTAAATGTTAATGTTATATCCATAAAAAATATGTTCTGTTCCTTTACAAAGCAGATATGTCTCAGGTTTGGCAGTCTTATTTGTTGCCCAGCATTAAGATAATTTCAAAGATAATTTCCAAGTTGTTTCTTAGACAAGACAAGACAATACATTGGTATATATTCCTCTGGATATACAGGTCAACTGCCATGTGCTTTCTGCACCAAAAACTGCAATATCTCCAAGATTTAAATTACATTCCTGCATTGTGACTGGCTCTAAAGGTCAGAATGTTTTGTGTGAGATTCTCAGAGACAGTAATAAAATCTGCAGAGCATACCAGAGTGCAGAGAGTAGCTGATGTCAGCGTTGCTGCCCATGTCCTTGTCCAGTGCTTTGACCCTGATGACCTCAGATCCTGTGGGGGCCAGGTTAGAGATTGTAGCTTCGTAGCGGGGGCTCAGGAAAGATGGAGAGTGATCGTTGCAGTCCTCTACTTGAATGACAACCTTTACAAAGTTTCTCTTTACTGGAATTTCCTGATCACGCACCTGAGGAGAATCCGAATATTATTGAAGTACACTCAAGAGGCCGAGGTAAAACATAATGAAGCAGATAATTGCCACATTTTTCTTCATTTCATTCTATTAATTCAAAAACTAACTAAGTGTGTCACTCCTTTTTTTCAAAACTCAGATAAAGTCTAGAAAATCAATCTTACCAATCTCCCTAATTAGGTGAAATAAATTCAAATGAAATAAACGACTACTTCAGATATTTAGCTGAAGTGAGATTAATTACCATCACGACGAGAGTGTGAACAGAAATCTTCTCGAAGTCCAATTCCTCCGTCATAACCAGAACCCCGCTTTTTGGATCTAGGTGGAAGAACTTGGTGCTGTCAGGGTGGAGGCTGCTGTGGATGGAGTACACCAACTTACTGTTGGTGTCAGCATCCTGAGCAGTGATCTGCAGGATGTCCTTCCATGGGGACGTGTCCTCTGGGACCCTAACCTTTAAAACACACAGCAGCAGATGTTTTGGTTGGTTATTATGACAAAGTTCATGAAAAGAAAAGAAACCAAATTTAAAAGTAGGTTTTCGGTTTCCTCACTAGTTGGCTCATGACTCTGATCAAAGTGAGGACAGAAAAGTTTTGAAGGAGAAGTGGAGATAACAAGCAGAGTGGGTATAGATTGTGGTGGTTAAGAAAATAACAGTGCCATGGCGGAGGGGAGATTAAATAAAGATTACGTAATCAAAGTAAAAAACACTGTCCCGGAGTTTTTAATCTCTCTCACAGTCTGTGTATATATTTAAATAAAAACAACTGCTGCCATTAATTCTCCAACTGAATTGCACAAAAATAAATACACCGATCAATAAAGCAGAGCCCTTCAAAGGGGTATATAAATATCAGCCACCAAAGTCGGTCTCTGTCCTCTATTATATTTTAAAATATAAAACCCAGAGTATTTATATTTAATAGTAGGTAAATGACAAGTTTCTTTTGTATTGTATTGTATTGTATTGTATTGTATTGCCTAGCATGATGACATGATAACTAATAACATATATATGTATAATTTAGTGTAGTATACAATTGTATAGTATAGTATAATATTTATAACATAATATAATCTTTGCTTTACAAATTCAGGAATTAAAACATATGTTTTCTTACTTTTGTAAAAGCACAATATATTTGTTTTATTGTATTCCAACAAAAGGTGTTGTACGTTTTTTTGTCATGTAGATGCTGCGTAATCTCACGTGAAAGTTACGACTAAATAACGACAAAGCTTCTGTTGCTTCATGATTACTGTTTGAATTCTTACTGTTAGGGTAGAAAGTGAAGGAAATCCCTGTGGATTCTTTCATGAAAAGCTACTTTGTTTTCTGTCTTTGTTCTAAGATCCCCACCAAGAATCTTAACACGGTGACTATTTTATTCTGGTGATTATGGAGTGCTTTTTACACCAGGTTCACCTCCCCCACAAAATTCTTTAATAACAGTGACAGGGGGGAAAACTCTGGTAACTATTAGATTTAGTAAACACTACTAAGTAGTAAAGTAAACACAGGCTTCAGAGTTCTTACCTCATACAGCGGCTTCAGGAAAACGGGCCGATGTTCATTCATGTCTAGCACACGGATGTAAGCCTGCAGTGTTTGAGACACAAATAAAGATATAAGAGTTCATAAAACAATACTTTAGACTCTTTAATTTGATGCTTATGTTTTGCAATTATGTGAAATGATTTTATGGCTATATTTTGGCGTGTAATTGCAGCTAATTAGCAGAGACTAATACTGGTCTGGATACAAATGTATGGTGTGTATGAAGCAAATACTCACCTGTGTGGTAGCAACATGATGACCATCAGTAACCCGCACTGTCAGGTTATAGTTGGAGCGCCGAGCGGCATCAAGGCGCCGGGCGATCGAGATGGTTCCGGTATTTCTCTGAATGTCAAAGTCCTTTTCCTCGTCACCTCCTGAGAGACAGATATTAAGAAAGAAAGAAAGAAAATGTATAAAGGTTAGACACATGTTCATGAAAGTGCATTTTTTGATATATTTTTTGCTGACAAAACTACTTGTTTTGTGGCACCATTACCACAAGAGCAGCCAGCGCTACTGGAAGTCGTGAGGAGAAAGTGTAATAATTTAGTACTGACCTCATTCATGTTGTTATGTCATGATCATTTAATTTTATTTTAATTTGTAATTATTTTTTAAGGTTGTTTGAGGTTGTTTTGTGAGTAATTTGACAGTGCGACAATTCTTGAAAGTGGTACATTAGCACTTCATTCACAGTGGATCACTGTAAGATAGGAAACCCTTATTGAGGTCTATAAAGTTTGAGTTAAGTTAGAGTTGAGTTTAAGTTTAATTTTAAGTCAAAACAAACATCAACCTCTCTCTGGCCACAATTCTCACTAAGAGTCAAGAAATAATCTAGAATCTTCCCAGTGGTGACAATAGGCCAGTGTCTTTAAGACGATGAGGGGCAAATGTGCCAAATCGGCATGTGTGGAACTCTGTAAGACAGTAGAACAGTTGCTTGTTGACCCACTGATGTGGAAATATCTGACAGTCAGCCAACAGTGAGTGAGATGAAAATGGGAGAGAAACTGCAGCTCCTGTTGTTTTTCTCTGTCAGAATAGGTGTTAAAATACCAGATTTGAGGTGATTTGTTAGCTGCACGGTGCAAAGTGCATCCCACCAGGAAAAAATAGGTCAACAGATCCAGTTCCTACAGGTTGGGAGATTTATTGCATGTCATTCTTCTCTGGCTCCTATACTTGTCCTGGCTGTGGCTTTCGCTTCCAGCCTAAATGCCTATAAACATATAATTGTATGTCTGAGTTTGGAGCAGCCAAAGACTCAGGGGGAACACCTGAAAATGGTTTAGTTAATGTGGACCAACAGATTATAAACCAGATAGATAGATAGACAGACGGACAGACGGACAGACAGACAGACAGACAGACAGATAGATAGATAGATAGATAGATAGATAGATAGATAGATAGAGTATTTGTCCACCTAATTTTTTCTCTCTCTGTCTTTGCCTCACCTTCGCCTTAAATCCCCTCTCTCCTTTCTCCATCCCTTCTGTTTCTCCCTCTCCGTCCTTCTCTCTGTCTCTCAGCAGGTTTCATGAATATACGTGACAAAGGTAAACCTCATGCCTGCTCAGCCAGATGGTGTTTGTTAAGACATTCGGCTCGTGAGGGGACAAAGAACCACACACTCCCCTTTAATGGTCTGAGAAAAAAAACCATCGTTACATTATCCTTGTACTTTCCTTTGCTGTTACCTTTTCTCAACTCTTACCTTAAATTGACCCTCAGGAATTTCAGACAACAATGTCTGAAATTTCTCATTGTCCATTCTGTGCAATACACTTTGTGTTGTCTCTTAGATCTATATTTTAGCCACCAATCAACAATTTCTTTCTTTTCTTTGTTTTTTTCTAGACAATGCAATGGATTTTACATATTTGCAGGAGCCAGACTGCATGTAGCAGAAACTCCACCTTCTAAGTTTAGTCTAATCAAAGTTTGAAAAAACACATTCAAAGTTATGACAAGAGGGCGAAGGATTAATTATTTCAAGGTTCATATCGAAATGGAATTTAGATTTTGAGATACCTGCATTCTAGTCTCTGTTCCTACAGGTGCCCTTAGGTGTACCAAGAGTTTTTCAGCAGTCAATCGACCTGAAGAAACCTATTTGATGGTATGTGGAAACTGCCTCACCCAGGGTAGGTGCAGGCCAGGAATACGCAATTCAGTTAAAATATAGGCTGATGTCCTCTGAGTCACATTTAAACAGTTACACCAGAATAATATTTACCTGCAGTATCAGTACTGGCTGCAGAAACGTAGTAAAAACCCATTCGTCTGTGTATAATAAATACTCGAGCGATGAACAGTATGGTTCCATTAGATGTGACTTGACAATAAAATAAAAAAAATGGAACAGAAAATTATATATATATATATATACCCCATCAGGGTATATATATATACCCTGATGGGGTTAAATGAGTTAACCGATGGGGTTAAATGAGTTAAATGACCTTAGGTCAGCCTCCTGAGTCCAGGAGGCTGACCTAAAATACTGTACCACTGACAAGCGGATATCTTCAAGGCTGTGTTCAATTCTTCCACTATGTGGCCAGAATGTTAATTTTTACAGCTGGAATATTGCAGATTATTCAGCTTGAGTAAGAGTTAATGATAACTGAAGAGCAAACAGACCAATTGAAAATCAGATAATTGTAGGTTTTGTAGTACTGTAGTACTACTAGAACTGAAGGATACTGGTAATCGGGTGCACTGAGGACATGGTTGGTTATAATGATATACAGTAACAGCAGTAACAGCGCTGTTCTGTTCCACTGAAGAGTGAGGAGTTGATATCAGGTCAAGTTGTGATTGAAACACATGATAACTTCTTCAGACACTCATATACATCTAACACATCCTTTATTATTCTAGTGTGCCAAAGCATTTGTCTGAACATTAAAGGGAACTCTTTTATTTGTTTCTGAAATATTTGTCTCAAAGACAAAAAGACTCTGTGGACATTTGGTCTGTGCTTCCAGAGAACAGGAGGTAAAGTGAGGCCACGAATAGCTGATCATATTAGCTATGCAAGTCAAGTGTGTGACTCGTCACTTCTGTCTGGAAAAACCCGACTGACACATTAAGCAAAACAGAACAAATACGATTAAATGTGCCTTTGTGCAACACTTTCTCCAAGGTGATATTTTAAACGAATCAATAATTCCACTCAAAAAGACACAATAATAACTTATTGGATTATTTACAAGAAGTGATAACCTGTGTAGATTGATGTGAATATAAATATTTAGATTTATCATTGTGCTGTTTGGACACTATGGAGAGACAGTGGACAAAGCACAGAAAAGAGGGAGCTGCCAGGCAGGAGGAGAAGACGTCAGTGTTGAGTTATGGATGTGATGAAGGAGGACAAAGAGATGGTTGGTCTAATAGTAGAGAAGAAAAGGGAATATAGACTCTTGGTCCATATCAGTGTTCATGCTTTATAGTTCATCGCACACATGGAATCTATGGTGAATATGTGTTTTAGATATTGGCTGAAAGTGTTGTCTTTTTGGGTGCAAGTAAAAAAAAAACCAAACACCTGGAAAAACTCAGTTTGCAGTGGCAGGTATCCACGCACCACACTTAAAAAGGTCAAATGACAATCCATGTTGGAGTAGAAAAACACTCATGGGGTCATCATGAAGGCAAGCATCGATTTTCTTTTAAAAATCAACAGAACCAGACACAAGAAGAGAAGATAACAAGGACAGGCTGAAGGGAAGACTGACAGACGATTACTTAAGACTGGTCTTAATAAACCCAAACATCACTGATATCTCGTCATGTTTTTTGAATAATCCTTGTCGTGGCTCTCTGCTGTCATTGACACTCACCTGTGTCCTGTGCTAGTTGTCTAATTAGTCTCACTCGTCTCACCTGGTGTCCTGGGTATATTTACCTCTCTCCCTCGCTCTCTCTTAGTGCATTGTTGCTGTTTGACTGATGTTGTTTGACTTCTGTCTGTTGTTTGACTTCTGTGCTCTGCTCTGTCTGTGTCTCTCTGGCCCAAAGAGTTTTTTTGTTTCCTGAGTTGTATGATTTTGTGTGGTTTGTCTAATGGCTTGTATCTGGACACATTTTTGGAGCGCTGCATTTTTGAAGTGCTGCATTTGAGCCTTGCTCCTGCTCCTGCTGACAGTGTTTTGTTTACAAATTCTAATAGCAAATGAATGTAACAATTTAATTGTTTTTTAGTTTTCTACTAATATGAAAGAAGAAGTTGTCTGCATCCTTTTGATAAAAAGATTCAGATAAGCTAAAATAAGATGTAGCCTTAAAGCTGGTGTGGGTGACACCAGGACAAATTAACTGCCATATGTTAAATTAATACTAATGGTGATAAAAATGACTCGATTTTGAGGTGCCTCTTTATAAGGCTACATCATCATGACGTAGAAAGAGGCGGTAGCTACAGCTTGTGAACGTCATCGAACATCCGGTTTCAGGACCTACAGAACATTCCCTCAGGGAGGTGAGGAAGCAATAGAATCTGTTGTGTTCCCTTCAGTTCTGGCGTAGATAGAAGTTGGCACAGAGAAGTGAACAGAAGCGACCTTGTGACTTTTCTACAGCACATGCTGGTCAGACCTGGTGTGAAACAACCTGGCACAGACCTGATTAGCCTTTCCAGGAAGGAACAGGAAAGGAGAAATACTCATCCATACAAAACAATTTGCTTTTCGATATAGAACATTCACACCTCTAACAACCCAGAGAATTACTGTGACGCAGACAGGTGGAATGAAAACAGACAAGAATGGTAGATACAGACAAAAGAAGATAAAGGGGGTGGGGGGTGGGGGGGGGGGGGGAAGAGAAAACATCGTGAGGATTACACTGATACCAAGACCTTTCCTCTCCACTTTCTCCCACTGCTCCTTCTCTAGTTTCTCAGCAGTCACTTGTCAATTTCAGAAGCACTTCAGCTGCTAGATAAAGTGCCTCTACGGAGGGCTGTTATTTTTAAAGCCTTTCCATTTTTATTTACACCACCTTTTACAGCTACATGTTGAGAAGAATCCAATAAACTCAGTGCTCTGAACATAATATATTCATAAACTGGAGAGATTTTGGTAAATGTCAAATAAAATAAATAAATCCTTGCTTTCCATGCATGCCACGTGGCATTTTTGTTGCCAATCCTTTATGAACAGGTGCAGTTTAATTCAACAATTTCCATAACAATGTAGAACTCAGATGGTATTCCATCTACTCCAAACTCAATGACAGCTTCTGTGTATTATTTACATAAGAAGTGACATTCTGAAAACAATTCCTACTTTCAGTTGAGTGAAAACTCATAAAAGCATCACTAAATAATAATAGGCTCTGCAGTTTATTTGTAGGATTAGTGGAACTTTTAATAAATGTAATTTCCCAATTTCTTGGAATTGGCATCTTTTTTTTCCTTCCAGTAAACTGCCGATAAACTATTGCTTTAAAAGCTTTTTTAAATGACAAACCTCCATAAAAATCTTTATAAATGACATGTTTCCATCAAAGCACTTAATCAAGCAGCTGTCGTGTTTCTAGAACAAGAGTTAATTGAATAAAAGCGAGAAAAAGAGAAAGAGGAGAGGAGAGGAGAAAGATCACAAAGAGTCCCGCTAAAAGTGGTTTTCCTTTTTTATCAGAAATGACCATAGCGATAAATAAATGAGATGTGATTATGTCAAGGGAAGAGAAGTCAAGTAAAGCAGGAGTAGCTAATACATGACTAAAGGGAAGTCTGTTTATAAATGAAGATCCCATTTAAAGAAAAATAGACAGTAAAGCACTGTCAGAGATATAAGATATGACTGAACCATGGTTGTGAGGATAGGTCCCTTGTGTGTGTGTGGTGACTTCTTACCTACGATATCGAACCACCTAAGTCGATGTGTCTCTGTCATTATGATGCCCACCATGTGGGTAACAGGCTCGGTTTCCATCACGGCAAAGGTGAAGTGGGGTTCATCAAATGTGATTGGCTCAGGAGATAGAGGTGGGCGGGCCATCCACTCGATGTCAAGTCGGGCTGTGGAGGATCGTGATGGGCTGCCAGCATCTGTGGCTTTAATCTGAAAAGGTTAGAGAAAAGACACTTAACCCCAAGTTGGCCATCATTACATAGAACTTCAGCCCAGTTCCAAGGCTGCAGAAATCCTTTCAGAATGGCTTGTGGACAGGCTATAAAGGTTATATATTCCTTAAGTATTCCTTAACGAAGCTCTTGATTTGTTTTTAACCTCGTCTAACGGTGAAGTGGTTTGAGTAAGTGTGAGCTGAGGAAACAAGATCGCTCTCTTGCTGTCAGCCAGCCATAATTCCTGACCTGTCAGAAAATTCACCTGATTGTCTTCACCTCCTGCATTTACACTGCTTGGTTTAAAATACTTTTGTAGTGGGAATTTGTCATAAAAATGTTTTGACATTTGTAAACATTTTCCATGATAAGAGTGTGAGTGGAACTACTTAGGGTCACAGAATGTCAACAGCACTGACAGACAGATGTTAGTGTTTGACAGTTATGATGTTTCACTGTGAACACTGTGAGGTGTGTAGGAGGAGTTAGGAGGACCACTTTTTAGAGTTACAGTTAACCTTAGTCTCTACATGGGCTACAGAAACATGTCAGTGAAGCGTAGCTGGACAGACACCCACCGTGAGGATACTGTAATTCCCTGGCCAGAAATCCCCGTGTGATGTCACCAGGCCAGTCACAGGGTCAATCTGAAAACGTTCGTCCTTGTTGTCAGGCAGTAGGTAGGTGACGGCAGCATTTAACCCTTCATCATCATCCTGTGCCACCATTCTGCAGACCTCCTGTTTCCCAGCCTGGAGGCGCTGTTCAAGGAGTTTGACGTGAAAAAGCTTGTCGGTAAACTTAGGGCGATTGTCGTTAGCGTCCAGGACTCGCACCACGACGGTGGCGGTGGAATGTAACGATGGTGATCCGTTGTCTGAAACAATGACCTAGGGAAAATTATATTTTTAAAAGAAAAAAAAGCTGTTAGCTCCACAATTAAATCAATTTTAAACTCCCTGCTCCCTGACGGTTCTATTAAAAAGGCAGAATCACCGTCCTACTGGGATAATCTGGTTGTTGATGTGGTTTTGATTGTATTAACATGACTAATAAATAACAAATCAGTTCGGAATGCTGAGGTAACCAACTGTTTAGCCCAACCTCTCTACAAGCTGCAGCTTGGCTGCTGTGCATTTAATTGTTAGCTGAGGTCAGACATGCAGCAGCCGTCTCCTATTCAGGATGTGATGTAGCTGTCCACGAGAAAAGAGAAGAGCACCCTGGGACAGATACTTCTGAAACAGCTGTTTGTTGGGTGATTGTTACTGTGGCCAGTTTACAGTAACACACAATCAATTTGAACTGAATATAGATACACACTGTGTCTGCTAACCTTAATATGTGTATATACTGTATGTGTGCCTTAGCACAGTGTTACAGTGTGTGAAGTTGAACTGCAACTGAAATAATCTACAGCAAATTGTTATCGTTGCTGTTTATGTCCAATGGGAGAAGAGAAAAATAGTTTTTAGGAATTCACCTCGATGCTGTGCTCTGGTTTGTCCTCGCGATCCAAGGATGACACCGTGCTGATAACACCTGTACACAAACGCACAGAGAAGAACACCACGGAGGCTGTCAGAGCGTCTGTGAGCCTCAGTCCTGGGAAGTGAGAGTGCTAATTACACCTAAACAAAATAAACACTGAGGTGTTGGTGCAAATGGTATTGCTGGTGTGTGTGTGTGTGTGTGTGTGTGTGTGTGTTTGTCAGCAGCCAGTTGAGTTGATAACACCTGAGCAAACACACTCAGGTCTGTGAATGTTGTTCCTGCTGCTGCTGCTTCTTCTTCTTCTTCTTCTTCTTTTCATTTTTTTATAAGCCTTTTTTTTTTACTTAAGCAACTCTGACCTCAATGTGCCCCACGAGGACCATTTATAGGAAATCATTTTAGATTTATGTGTCAATTTTATTTTATCTGTGAAGTCAAAGTAGATGAAAATACATCTGGAGAAGAAAGTGAGATGAAATGTGGTCCGTTATCCGTTACTCAGGTTTAGTGGAAGTAGAGCCGGACAGATGACAGTTTAGTGAGTCAGCACTTGTGTCTTTATTTCTTTCTTGGTAATTATGATGTGTCTGGTACATGATGTAAAGTATGCGGTTAAGCAGGTTGTACACAGTCTGCAGACACGTTCGGCCTCCTTATGCAGATGTCTATCGGGAAATCTAATGTGACTAATGACAGTATCAGGAAAATGACGACTGACATTTTGTGGTAAATCTGGACTGATAAAATATGCTTTAATAATGAGAGAATCCTCAACTCAAAACTGCGAAGACGCAGATATAATGATCACATGACATATATCATTTGATGCTGACATTTGTTTGTGTCCTAAGGATTTCTGGTGTTGCTGCTACTCTTTTTGTCATTCTGCAGCAGGAAAAATAACAGGCCAGTGGACAACAGCAGTGATGAGAGTGTGTGCATATTATTATTGTTGTTAAAACAAGATAATGGATTCCATTTCCCTTGGTACTGTTTGGTATGACACTTGTAGCCCTTTAAATATGATGATGATGATTTTAGCATGTGTTGTTTAAACACGGCCTAAAACAATCTCCCAAAAAAATCACGTGAGGTCATCTGTTCTCCCAGCATGGCTTCATGTCATGAAATGACATGATGTACTCATTTTTTATTCTTTTTTTTTTTTTCAGAAAAAGAAAGTCTCAAAAGCAGCACTTTTAGGGGGGCTGTGGCGTGAGAGACCTTATTGAGAGCCGTTCAGTCTTTTTTTTTTTTTTTTTTTTTTTACAACTGTATAAACAAGGCCTGCTGGGAGGGCATTATCATCAGGACAGGTGGGGGGCAGTAGAAAGTGTGTGTTGATGTCATTAGCAGAGATGTGGGAAACGGGGAAGGGGGGCTGTGTCGCTCCCCCGTCGCCTGTTTTCACTCCAGCCTTGTTGGATGTTTGTCAAAGCCATGTTAAGATAAACAAGGCTGTCATGCTGACATGTCGTGACTGGGTTTGTTTGTTTGTTTCCTCATCTTTCTCTGTATGGAATCACTGCCAGACCTCTGCTTCCACACATCTTGTTTTTGGTCACACTTTGATTGACTAATTAAACCAACAATGGGCTGAAAACACACACATTTCACTTCATTTCACTCACAGTCATTCTTACAAATGTCTTTATTCCCTCGAAAAAACATTTTTTTCCATGTGGGAATTGTTTTCCTAAACTCAGCGCAGGTTTGTTTGTCAATAACAGATAAATACAAGTGACAGCATGCAGTGAAAGTAACGCATAAAAACAACAAGCCAACGGCCCCATTACATTCTAATTGCAGGAGAAAGCTGTTAAACTCTGAAACATCACTGATGATGCCAGAATATAGAGGAAAATCTGCATCGTTGTGTCGAATCACTGAGAACTGATCCCTGCTGCTGCCCTCAACAGAAGGACCATCGCAAGAGTCGTTATTTTTAACAGATTAAAAAAGGATTTTACGTTTTGAAGAATTCCGCACTCAACATATGCAAAACATTTTAAATCATATCAGTGACGTCAACCATATTTCAGGCTACACAAGGTACTCAGTGCTAAGTGTACCGAGTACCTCAAATACTTCTGAATGTATCGTGTAATTCATTTACAAAAAAAAAACCCATTATTTTAGATCAATATTAATGTATGAGTGATTTCCGCCAAGCATAGACCGTGTATAAGAAATGGGTGGTCAATGGTCAGGTGGAAACTATGGTTTCAAATGGAAAAGTTCGAGATAGACCAGATGTGCTCTGCGTTTTAGCATCAGTTAGCTGCAAGCTGAACTACTTTCATGTTGAATTAGCATGACTTACGCCTGTATGGCTCGTACAGACAACGAAAATGAAGTAAAATTATTTTATATTATTATTTTTCAAATCCAATCCCATGCCAAGACACCCAGCTCTTGTTTATAAGCTATAAATACTCTCAAAAGAGTCAGAAATTCCCATGACTTGGAAACGCACTATTAAAGGATGCATCAACTCCTTTTTACGTGAATTGATGTGAATGAAAGTAAAAATGCATCACGTGACTTCACCTCACTGGAGTGAACAGTGAAGGAACTTTTATTTTACCACATCAACTCAAGTCTACCGGTTCCTAATTCCTTCACATTGAATCACTCCAGATATATCACTGCAGATATAGGGTTTACAGATACACATCACCAAAATATGAGCAGAGACAGAAACAATTCTGCAGCTGTGAGTCATTTTATTCCTGTCGAGGCTTGACAGGTTTTTTGCTGTACTCACTGATCTGTGTCAATAATTATGAGTGAAATAAGAGGAAAGGTGGACAATGTTGAAAATATCTGGTTTCCATCGCATGTTTAGACCACAAATAGTAACAAGATCAGACACTGAGATTTATTGGATACAGGATCAGTGATATTTGATTTTCATATGTTTTGTGTCTAACGATTTTCCATGAAAGTTAATAGTTCTTTGTCCCTTAATTCTTTTTTTTTCTTTTGTTTTTGCATTTTAATTTGTGGAAATTTTTTTTTCTAGTTTTAAGAGAATATTTATAGGGTGTTTTTTGGTTTGTTTGTTTTTTAAATTACTGCAGTTGAGTCTGTGTATAATCTAGGTGGATGAAAACTGTAACTGAGTGAGCATGACCTTCAATTAAGTCTGTTAAAGAAATAGAGTAGAGTTCGATCCTGTAGACAACACACACACACACACACGTTTCCTACACAGATTCTTTCCTCATGTGACATTTTCTAGTGAGAACATTTCCTCACGGACTCGCCTTTTTGCTCAGGGTGTCAACAAGTTGAAACAGGACAAAAAAAGAGTCAAACACAAACTGTTGCCACACTGTTCACAGGTGTTGACTTGTACGCATCAATTATTTTTCTACTGTACGTTATTTACATTTGGCATCTGATTCTAGATGATGTTTCAGCCTCTGGGCCTTTTTGCAGATTTATAGGTTATGTTCTTTGATTGAACAGATTTCCCGTTTGAGTCAATGATCAATATCTCTTTGTGTTTATTTTCTATTCTATATAATATTAAAGCAATGCAACACACAGCTGCTCTTATATGTTTGTCTCAAATGTACCATTCTAAGACTGTGTGTGGTTTAAAGTCAGGAGTTCATGTTAAATTCTAATGAGTGATGAAGATACCATCAAGTTTAATTAGTTTATAAGTCGCGGTGTGTGATTGATGCTTTGGCAGTTTTATTTTGTCATTTGTTTGGTTTTGTCTCTAATGAAATATTAATGTCATTGTTGTTATTCCCTGTTGTTGATGTGTGGTTGGTTTGGTCTCTTTCTGTTCCACCGGTTCCTCCGTCATTTTCAAATTGATGTTTATTTTTTAAAGCTGCAAAACTGTCAGAGTAGTTTTGAGACTGTAAAAAAGGCCTAAATGTAAAGTCCATGAAGTAATCGTCAGTGAACAGACCTCAGGTTACAGCCATGATATAACAGCAGGGCATTTTTGGAATGTAAAAAGTCATGTCCTTTTACAGGGTGTGTTTTCAGTGAAGGGCAAATATCAAGTACGCCTGCTTTGGCTCAGAAATTCATGCTACAATACTTCACTCCGCAGCCTTTGTCTCTCTGTCTCTGTCTCTCTGACAAGAATCCCCCTCCGTAATCCCCTGGTATTCTGACCTGCGGGTGTGGACAAACAGCAGCGCTCCCAGGACAGGTAGCGGCGAGGAGGACAGGGACGTGTCACAGCATGCAGCGCTCATTTGCCTAAACATCAAAGTGAGTGTGTGCACAGTGACACAGGATTGTAGCTGTCAACGTGAACTTGTGAACACCTGTAGGTTAGCAGTCTCTCTCTCTCTCTCTCTCTCTCTAACCAAACTGGGGTCTAGAAAAAGAACATCTGAATTTGTGAGTAATTAAATAAATCTTTCACAGATTTGTTTGAACCTGACTTCTCTGCAACACACCCAGTTCTCTATGGCTCGTTGTGCCTGGACTTGCAGCAGTGTATTTCAAAATATCTATCAAAAAATAATCCCTAAATCAAACTGTAAATATTTTTCTGAAACCCGACGGCCTAGTAATAGACAAGTATTGAATTAAGTAAGCTTTAAAAATGTAGCTAATTCCAATGATGAACATTAATGTTTGGAACATCCAGGCAATAATGGCATTTAAAATGAGACAATATTGCGAGGAAACTAACCTGTTAGATCCGACTATACAGCTGGAAAGAGAGTTATTTCCAAATGTGTATGCTCTCACTTTTAGACAAGATGCCCTGACTTTTGTACAGGTATGAACGGACACTGTACAAGACAGTGAAGGTGTTATGCTGAGCTGCTTCTAGAGCATTCCCCATTAGGGGTGAAGCCAGGGTTGAGTTTGCTGCAGACAATACACATGCCCAGTTTGAAACTTTTCATATTGTCATACATTTCTTGGGAGAGAAATTCCTTGGAAACAGATGGGGAAATGCTAAATGTACTACAAATCTTGTGACAATACATGTTTGAAAAGAGATAAAGTTGGTGCAGATATGTAATTTCCGCTTGGAGATTTTGACTTAACACATACCTCTCTCTGACGGGAATGTGGGCTGCCTGTATTTTTGAGGAAACTGGCCGTGGAAGGGGATGATGAGACTGTGCAGTGTGATCCAATTATCCCTGAGATAATACATGTGTTCCTGTCTGGATGTTCACACACTAAAAGCTTCAATTACATGTTTGGAGGCTGAGCTGTACATACAAATGTCTTCACTTCACACCATCACGCAGGTGCAGGGTGACATTGATTAAAGGATTTCAACCATGTCACTACAGGGCATGTGTGTACGACACAATAGGAGGATGACGATCATCAGACGATGAAGATTACAGTGTGTATTTCATATGAATTTCTATTCATTTTTCCATCGTGCATTTCTGGTAGTTGCTTTTAATTTTGTGTTTTTTAATATTAACAGTGTGTTTCCTACAAAATTAAGAAGGGGAAATACAGTATTTACTGATGTGTTTTAATGACTCATTACCTGTTTTGGGATCAACATCAAAATACGTCCGGTGGGAGTCCAGCATCTGGTAGGACAGTTTTCCCTCAGACGTAGTATCCAAGTCTTTGGCTGAGACCTGGACCACAGATCTGACCTTGTCCATGTTCTCCTGGACTGCAGCAAAATAGACGGGCTGTGAAAGTTCTGGGGCATTGTCATTGACATCCAGGACCTCTACGAAGACATGAGTCCAGGAGATAAGAGGCTCAGTTCCCAGATCTGTGGCATAGACGGACAGCCAGTAATGTGGCATCGTCTCACGGTCCAATGTCTCTGTTGTACGAATCACACCTGGGACACGTGAAAAAGTGTGAGGAAACAGCAATAATTGTTTGGATTAGACATGTATTTTTTTTTTCATTGTTTTAAAATCATTGACTGTGTCTTAAAAATAAAACTAGAAACTATCAGAGAGGAAATATCAATCACTGCTGCCTTAATAACGCACTCTAGTGCCAAGGGCTGGACTTGGACTTTTAAACATTCAGCTCCGAGCAACATGAGTGACGCGTTAATGTTGCCAAAACGTATTCAAGTTCTTACAAGAAGCTGAAATACCTCAATGTCATTATATTACTTCCCGGTTCAAAAAACACAATGATGAGTACTCTAGCCTTTGGAAACAGTTTTAAGTAAGGTTGTCCCTCAAGGGATAGGTCAAACACCAGCATGACACACACACATATTTTTTTCAGCAGGGTTCTACTCTTACAAAGATCTACATCTACATGCCTTGATATTAGCTTAGCTCTAAAAGCAATATTTACATTTGAAGAAATGTGCAAAAATGTTACAAAGTTGCAGGAACTCATCTGTTATGATGATGAGTTAACCAGACAAACTGCAGAGTTGGCAATGTTGTACAAGTAGGAAATACTGTTACCAACTGAAATGACAGGGAATACCAAAGAATTCTGTAACGATGACTAACTCCAACGGCATCTTGAGAGGTTTCCACCTGTGACAGTACTAAGTAGTACTTATGTCTTTTATTGAAGCAGAGAAGCTTAGTAAGTGTTCAACACTACCAATGTTTTAAAAGGGGTATTTTTCATGATAATGTGAAAAAAAGAAAACACACAGCTCAGTGCAACTGTTTACAAACGACAAGTGTGATTTCAGGCCAAGGAGGCTGAAATGTTTGTTTGTTCTGCTCAAATGCTGCTTCATTTCTTAACTTTGTCCCTGAAATAAATCTTCATAAAGGGTTTTTGACAACTAAGCCCAACATTACAAATTTCAGCAAACTGATGGAGGCAGCAGAGGATAAACAGCACCTGTGCACCGTGAACAGCACTGATTGTCTCCAAGGAATTGTTTCGAGGCGAGTGGGCACAAATTGGCATTAAACCTGCCACAAACCAGTTAAAACCATATATTTCTTACCTGTTTCCTCATCGATGGTGAAAACCCCTAGTCCAGATCCTTCATGGATGTGGTACCTGACAACACCATCTCTGCCCAGATCTTTGTCTGAAGCCAGTAGTGTCACCACAGCTGTACCGACAGCAGCATCCTCCATCACACCAGCCTCATACACAAACTCTGAGAACACTGGTCTGTGAAGATTTTCATTAACATCCAGAACCTGAATCTCAACGAAACATGATGATGAGAGAGAGCGCGGGAGGCCGTGGTCAACGGCTCGGACGGTGAGGTTGTAAGATGGCCGCCTCTCATAGTCCAGTTCCTTTTCTAGCATTAAGGCACCTGTGATGGAGTCCACGTGGAAGATTCCACTCTCTGTGTTCTTAAGGTTATAAGTCACAAGACCTCCACCACCTAGGTCCAAGTCCACACTCTCCACCCAGACAAGCAGCGTGCCCACAGGAACATCTTCTGGAACTTTGATCCGGTAAACCTTGGGTATAAATTTGGGGGCGTTGTCATTGATGTCTTGCAGAACAACTATAAGGTCCATAATGGAAAATAGCTGAGGGCCCAGTCTGGCCTGGTCTTTGGCTTCAATCCTAAGGTCATGCCTGGGAGCGCTTTCTCGGTCTAAATGTTGTTTCAGTGTGACCTCACCAGTCAGTTCATCTATCATGAACATCTCAGTAGATGTCAGTAGGGAGTACTGGATGTTACCATTAGTCTCTGCATCCAGATCAGTCGCATGAGCTGTGAAAATGATGGAGTCAACTTCCACATTTTCAGGCACACGGATCACATATCTGTGCAAATCAAAAACAGGAGGGTTGTCATTGACATCCATGACGTTCACGGCAATGAATTTCCACGAAGACGTTTGTGGCATTCCCAGATCATAAACTGTAATGTTGAGGATGTGGAACTCCTTGATTTCTCTGTCCAGTGGACACACTAACTGAAGATCACCAGAGAATGTGTCGATGGAGAAACAGCTGTTTTCATTACCACTAGAAATTGCATACACCAGTTTGCCATTAAACCCTGTGTCATTATCAGTCGCCTTTAACTGAAGGATGTTTGAGTTAAGTGGAAAGTCCTCAGGGAGATCAATAGAACTAGGAATGGCCAGGTCGAACTTTGGAGAGTGCCTGTTACTGATGTGAATGTCAGAGAAGGTTTCTTCCTCTTGATTGTTCAAAATCGGTTTAATTGACTCAATCAATTTGTCTGTAAGGTGTTTAAAAATTCCAGTTTCGTGGCAGGTCAATGTTGACTCATCACCTCTGTTGGTGACAGTAATCCTGACAACTGAAGCTTCAGAGTGATGCTTACCATCATTGGCTATGACATTTAGAGTATATGACACTGCTCCCAGGGGTATTGGTTTGATCAGGGTTATCCGCCCTGAAACAGGGTCAATACTGAACACTTGTTGTTCATTTCCTGATTCAATGATATAGGTCAATTGCTGCAGCTCATCTAAATCAATGGCCGACAGCTCACATATAGTTTGTCCCAAAGGTAAGTCAAGGGGTACTGTGGAGTTGCAGCCCACTCTCTCGAACAAAGGAACATTATCGTTGACGTTGTTCAGCGTTATTGTCACGGGACACTCACTGACCTGACTGAAGGGACTGCCACTGTCTGATGCCCAAACTCTCAGATGGTACCGTCTTCTCATGAGCTCATAGTCCAAGTGTTCCGTGGTCAAGATAATGCCTGTGAATGGGTCAATTGTAAAAGGCAAAAGTCCTTTGTTGGCAATGGCGTAGGTCACAAAACTGTTTTTGCCTTTATCGCTATCTGTGGCCATGACTTTTAAAATGCTGCTGCCAACAGGTGTGTTTTCATCGAGCATAGTCTCATAGGATGTCTGGGTGAATTGCGGGATGTTGTCATTCTCGTCCGTTATCTCAACCACAATGTGAGTCTCAGCCTCAGCGTGATTGGCCACTACATCAAACTCATATCTGTTCTTCTTTTCATAATCAAATGTCTCTGTTGTTATGATAATTCCTGTTTTGGGATTGATCTTAAATTTGGTGCTGTCTGGATTATTTTTGATACTAAAGGTGACATTATATGGGTCTGCAGGGACAGAAACCTTAAGCACGTGAGTTTTGGGAGGTGAAAACTCACTCAGTGCGACAATGTAGGTGTCTTCCAAAAAGGCTAGCTGGCTGTAATGATACGCAGGTATGTGTATTTGAGTAATTGGAGAGAGAAAACTTGGGGAGCCTCTTTCTGAAGCTTGAAGCGACAGATCCACCCCTAAGGCAGTTTGAGGAGGGATAATCCTCTTTGTTGAGATCACCTGGAAGTCACTGCCCTGCACACCTAAAGGGATAATCTCAAAACACTTGTTAGGATCCCCTCCAACAATATTAAGGGATTTGACAGACTTAACTCCACCCTCCACATGGACTTCAATAGTTACCTTGCCATCTGTAGAGACTGTGGGCTTACTGGTGGTTCTGATAACCAAAGGTCCTTTTTTTGACTTTTGTACATTTACTGTGACTTTGGCAACATTACCAAATTTTTGCACACCAGATATTTTCTTTGTTCTGTCCTCAGCTAAAATAGTGAGGTCATACCTCTCTGAGCGGGTGTAGTTGAGTTTCCTGACAAGGCTGACTGTGCCGGTGAATGGGTCAACGGTAAACGGATGAGCTCTGCTGGTGAATGAGTAATAAAACTCACTATTACTCCCAACGTCTGCATCTGTGGCACTAACTCGGACCACACTTGATTTTAGGGGCATGTCATCAGAGACGGCCACATTGTAAGAGGCAGGATAGAAGAGTGGCTTCAAGTCATTGGTGTCAATCACCTGGACAAACACTTTTGTCTTCGTCTGAAAATTATAAGTACGTTCTGTCGCCGCCACAGTGAGAGTGTAAGAGTCTCTCACCTCCCTGTTTAATAGAGCTGTGTCAGTTTGGCGTGTTTTAATCCTGAGGAAACAAAAGTCTCCAACTTTTACAGCCACTGCTTGGAAAAGGCCGTCTTCATCGCCCGAGACAACGTTGTATGAAATTTCCCAAAAGATATCAGTCACTTCAATGCCCATCTTCACCGGCGTCTCCACGTATGTTCGTGGCACCGAGTTCTCATTGATGGTGACGTTGTAGAGGTGATGAGTGAATCTCAGTGGTGAGCTGTGTTTTCCTTTTTCTATGCTCCCGTGACATCTTCCCACATGAAGGAGCACTGCTGCTAATGTGAGGAGAGTTGTTCCTGAAGTTGCCATCTTAAGTACATCCAAGAATATCCTCAGCCCTGTGAAAAGTATACAACAACAATTAGTAATGTATAACATTCAGTGTACTGTACAGTAAACAAGGGAAAGTACTAGTGATTATTTTAGTTGATTACTTTTTTGGATACAGTAAGTTGTTTAATTGAAATACACACTAAAACATGTATCTGCTGTAGGAAGACATATATTATTTTTGTTGAGATTTTCTTGTCCTTTGTTGAAGTTTGAACATAAACTTGTGGTCAGATTAGTTAATAGTAGCATGTGACATCAGATTCTGAATGTCAACAAATTGCTCAAAAGCCACCTCTCCAGCAGCAGAGACATCTGTGTCCAGATATCCACCTCCTGCCCCAACATGCCTTTGCCAGGTAGAATGTAAAGAAATGCATTGTTCCATGATCTCAACATTCACACGCCTATTCACACGTCTTTTTCAGAGGGGTGGCAGCTAGAACCATTCCCCATAATTATTCCTTTGCTGTCCAAATACCAGCAACAAGTTATAATCAAAAATGATTACTCCTAAACCTTTGCCAGCCTGTGACTATGAGACAGATTTGTTCCTTTGATGACACTGTATCATGCAGGAGGTTCTGTCTTGATCCCAAGGTAAACGGCTGCATGCTGCCCGCAGTTAGACAAAGGTGACGATTGCTGCATGTGCATTTCTCAGACACATAAGCCAACAAACAATGTTCTTGTTTTTAGAATCAACAGAGAGCCTTAATCCAACATAGTTATGTTGCACCTTATTACGAAACATGATAATCCACTTTTAAGGAGTCACCTGCCCCAACCTGCAGCGTGATTTGAAATGGAGATAAAGACTAATGCTGATGATAGATGATGAGCTTAGGTCCAAGCCATGGCATTGGTTAAAACGTTTTGTCCAAGTTGTTTCTGGAAAGGTGGTATCAAATATATAAATATAAATATATAAGACTTACTAGAAGATGTTTTTCTATTTTAATAATGATTTGACAATCATATATTCATATACATGAATTTCAGAATACAGCTGACTTCTCCAACACCATCTTTCCTAAATTTCAGTAATTTAGTCTCACTTATAGTTGGTCCTTTTTGATTTGATCAAATTGCCTCAGATCATTATTTTAATTTTCTTATTAAATCACTGTTTATTTTGAAAGTTTCATCTGCAAGACGTGTTAGAACTAAAGGAAAAGTGTGCATTTTGTGCAGTTTTTTTTAAATGTTCTTTACTTATTCTTTACTCACATTCTGAATGAAACGAATAAAAAACATACATTTTGTTTTTGCCATGACAATGAGTGTGACTTTAAACACAAGAGAGTCACCTGAAAATAGGCATCTAATGTCAATCATATATTTTATTTAAAAAACGGAGGTCTAAATTATAAACCTGACACTTATGGAGAAAACTGTAGGAAATATAGAACAAACTCACTTTTCTATACAACCCTGTGCTACAGGGCATCACAGTTGACCTTCACCAACTCTCTGACAGTTCACCCACCGCTTAAAGCAATCTACACACACACACACACAAATACACACACACAATACCCATAGGCCAGAGACGAAACGATATGTCTCAAATGATCTCTGTTTTTCTCCAACAGATGGAGCGTCAGGATAAATCCTACTGTAAGTAAAAAGTCGATGTCACACAGGATTGGTTTTAAAGAAATGCTGGCTTAAAAATCCCTGTCCCTTTTAGTGATAAAAGACGTCTGGTGTGGCTGTCTCCTTGTCATCATACTGTGCCACACAATCATGTAGAGCAGTGTCCCAGAAAGGAGGTCTCCCATAGTTTTAGAACATCCTCATCAACTGCCGCTGGAGCTTCCAGTGAAGGGTGACAGGTATGTGAGGGCTTTATCTGGACTCTCCTGGTGACGGATAATCAGATTACCTCACTGAGAGCTCACTGTTTGGGTTTTGGAAAAGATTTAAGGCATGTAGGTGATTTTCCCATGGTGTAATTTTTCTATTATACGTACATCGGCAAGATCAGATTTAAATAGTTTCTCACAAAAGATGAAATTCTATTCACTCTATTTTCGACACAGGCCAAATCACATTCAAAGCAAGTGGGTTTGCTGCAATGTACAGTTGGAGTGAGGAACAAAGCCTGGTGGAAGTTTAATCCTCCAATCTACATGATATTCTTCACATTCCCTGATGTTTCTTTGGAAAAGGCAAACCACATCTGAACTCTGTCAATTCCATCTCAGAGCTTTAGTGTCCACCCAAACAAGACGAAGGAAGTGACCTAGGGTGAGTCATAGATTCATAAGTGAGATATTTGGCCTTTAGATCTACATTTGAGTATGGGTCACCTATGTGTCCCAAATGTAAAACTGGTACTGTGACTTATTGTCTCCAGTCATGCCATGAGTCGTAAGTGATTAGCAGCGATTGAAAAAAATACTAGGAATAAAACTAGGGATGGCTCCAGTTTCTCTTATTCTGGGACTTCCTGCTAGACAGGTCAGGTAAGCAAATCAGAGACTCTACTGTACTCTTACATATGCTGCAAGAAGAGTATTTCATTACAGAGGATAAGCAATAAAGTGCCTATGCCAAAGGTTGGCATGGAGTGCTGTTTGATTGAATGCCTTTGGGATACCTGACTACTGATTACAAATCCAAACAATTCTATAAAGTTTTGGAGCCCTATTAAGCTTCTTAGCATGTTTTTTTTTTTTTCAATGCCGTATTTTCTTAATTTTGGACGCTGTGTGTTTGTGACTAAGCCACTGTGTGTTTGATGTGTGTACTGTAGTGTTTAGTTGAAGTGCAGTGATTTGCTGTAAAAGGAAAATATTGTAACATATGAGTATAATAACAATAAGTAAATTAATTCCAAAACACATATTAGGCCACATTATGACTTAAAGCAAGAAAATATTTCAGGTCTGTCCAAATTTAATAAAATAAATCTTAAGCAGTGGAGAGATTTAAACAGGCCGTGAGGATGGATGGAAACACAGAAATGTAATGAATTCAATTTGAATCTAATAAACAGTGTGCCACGCACGTAATGAGTCCCACAAATCAGCACCGCCCGCCTCGACATCACAGTCATAAATACTTATGACTTATACCCCGAATACAAGTCGTTATTGTGCAACATTTATAATCATCCAAACTGAGAGATTGATTTTCTTTTCTGTTGAAGTGTCACCCGCAGCTGCTGCGAGACTTTGCACCATGATTTTTAGTGTATTGCTTCTGAGGATTCTCTCAGCTTGACTGAACTTGACGATGAATCTAAAATGAAAATGTTTGCATCCAAACATTCACACCTGCAGGGCTTAAGGCTGCGGCGAAGGGTCTATTCTTACATGCAGCGATCATCCCTGCATTTTAAAGGCATCCACACACACACATACAAACATACACAGAGTTACCTGCAGACACATGTTCAACACTGGCTTCTGTCCTTACATTTTCCAAACCCTGCACATTTGTCTTTATTGTCACTTCCTTTATTTTGTAGTTTTAGATTATCTCTCAGGAATATATCAGGTGCAAAGAATAGAAGTGTTCAAACCAGGCATCGCACTATACAGAGCTTGATGCTGAAATCTTCGACAGAGCAGCATTGTGTTAAACAGAACTCATATTTATAGCTCTTGTTACTCACATCTGCGTAAGAGCTGAGTCCATGCCAAAGCTGTCATTTACCTGTGTCTGAGTCAGTCATTCGATCTGACCCAGAGACTTTTGCCAAAATTTAAAACATCTTTTGTTTTTTCTGCTTCTATTAGTTAGACAGGTTTGGATTTGTTGTACTGTGGTATTTGAAAATCCCGTGTCCAGAGCAGTGACACAAGCATAGAGAGCAAAATAATAGTATTTGGTGAATAAAAATAAAAATATATACATTGTGTTACATGCATATAAAATAACAATTCATGTTTGTGTGTGACACTAAGATCTACCAAAGGACACGGACAAATCATCAATTTTAGTTTCCTGCTCTTAATATTGGAGCTGCTAGTAAGGTGCTGCCCCATGTGGTCAACCAGTTCAATGTCAACCAGAGTCTCCTTGAGTGTATTATGTCAGGATTGCATTTAAACAACTTGTGAAATTGGCACTGGAAATTAATTAGCAAAAGGACAATACAAGCACCACACACACCACCACAACCACATCTCCTAGGGCGTGGGTGTAACGAGCTACTGGAAGTTGGCATGCAGACAAGCAAATCCTAGATCAATCCTCTGACCTGCTTAACTCACTGATCCGTTGCCACCCTGCTGGCTTCTCTCATACTGGTAAACAAATATCCTGTTAAGCACATTAAACAATAGTGATGACAAGTGTATTGGTAGCAGTTACAGATAACATTCTTATCTTTATTAATTTTATTATTATTTTTTTTAATATCTGTCAACATCTACTTTTTTTCTCTGTAAACTACACAAAACACTTGAGTGATTTCTTCACTTCCTGTGCTATTGCAAAACTGACAAGTTGGATCATGGATCTCTATGACTTGTATGGAGATGCCAATTCAGGAGTCGCGGGTGTGTTTAATAAGAGGAGGGCAGGAATGTGGTTTGATCTTGGAAGAGCCAACAGCAAAGTGCAGGTCCTGCCAGGCCCAGTGGCACACAGGCAATTATCTCCATGTGTTTGCACAAAAGTTCTGCACCAGCACATTTTAGTGCAAGTTAAAGAAGTAGAAGTGGTCCCATGGGGGGAATTAAAGGATTTCCACATTGCTCTCTTGTCACTGAAAACTATCAGATACAATATGTCCTCCCCCTGAATGTTCTCTGACTGCACTTGTGCTATTGTCCCATTTCCTGCTTTTTGTGATGTGATTACACACCCTATTCAAAACAGAGAATGTCGAAGGGAGCTGCAGCTACGATTCAGGTGAAATCATAAATCACATGAAATTCAATGTCATTGTCAAAGTCAGAACAGAGATGTAAGAAAATAGCATACTATTGTGATTATCAAAAAAAGTCTGCATTTCTTTGGAAACACACCCTAACAACTAGTACAGTGCTGC